ACTTCTTTAGATATGAGGATATACAGGAAATGCCAACATAATTTGTCATTCTGACATTTTCAGCTGTCTGGCAACTGTACCCTGATTAGATTTTTATTTACAATTTATTTTTATGTACCATAGATATATGAGTATTGTTTATGAGTAATCTTGTATTTAATGATCGTAAAATTATGTAGATGAGCAAAATGAAAGATTCGTTGATAATTGGGAACCTCAGAGGTACTGCACCAGTATTGTTTCCTTCCTACGTGCATGAATTTATGGAGGAACTTACTGTATATCATAGAGGCAACAGAAATTACAAACTTTATTTGAAGTGGTTATCTGTCTGTCACGGATTTTTACTTACCCCCACTATTTTTCTGCCATTCATTCTGATTGGTCAAGGCTGTTGACCTAGATTACTGAATTCAGTCGCTTGCAAATATGGTTAGGTTAGGATTGCAAGTGACCGAGTTCAGTAATCTAGGATCCGCATCATCAGCCTCGATTGGTCAGAACAAATGGCTGACAAATAGTGTACATAGTTAAAGGTCTGTGACTGGTTAAATAACTACGGCCATATACTGTACACTAATCATTTGTCCAGTCAAGGCATTATCAGTGTCATCAGCTTCCATCAATGAGAACAATTGCTGGACATATAGCGGCAGTAATCAAAGGTCCGTGACCAGACAAATAACCACTGCTCACTTTATGATACATGTTGCATGATTGTCTCCTGTAGTCATTTAGATAGTAAACTCATCCACGTGATTTATATCAGTTCAGTACAATTTTATGGTATCTATACCCTGTACAGTACTGTATTTGTCCATATATAGAGTAGAATCACATATAACTATTCATATAAATGTATACTGTACTGTACATAGGTTTATCAGTCTTAATGTAAATTACTGTATATTACTCATTAATAGTCAAAGTTCATGAGTGCTGCTAAATTTTTGGAGTTTTCACACTAAGATTTCACCCGAGTTCATAATTATAATCCCTTTATTTTTTTTATTTTCATTTTAGTCATTGGGATTCAAGCCTATATTATAGTATATTTTCGGCCATAGGCATCTGACAAGATTAAGACTAAACGGAAGTTGCGTAAGGCTCAAGAAAAGGGGAAATGTAAGGTTACAGCCCACGTCTCTTCGTGTGTTGCTGCCGCCCATATATGTATACAATTATAGTACGTTATGTTTTCTTGTACCAGTGTAAAAATCTCAGTCGAGTGTCCACACCTGGAGCTGGTGGACGCTCGCCCCACAAAGGGTCACAGCTCAAGGTTGAAGAACCCGCAAGTCTAGAAAACTGTGAGGGCGAATTCTTGGAACATCCTGCCAGAGAGTGTTGTGACAGCACCAAGTGTGAGCTCTTTCATGACCAGGCTTCACCTGCACTGGAGCAGGCTTGGAGCCAGTGCATGCCCAGTACTTGCCAACAGTGCGTAATAGACATGGCCAATCGCCCAAGCGGCTAATGAGCCAATCAGTGGTGAAGAGGTTCAAAGTAAAAAGTAGATGCACAGATATCACTCGCAGCTGCCAAATGTACTGTACCGGGTATGCCCTGTGGATGTCCTTCCACCAGTGTGTTTTTAGGGTCCGTGCTGGTGACTTATGTCGTCATTGTATGGCTTATGGCTGCTGCAGGTTATTTGAAATGGAGCGAGGTTGATAATTATTCACTGTGTTACAACTACAGTACTGTACCGTACACTGTTCCAAGTACAGTAGCCTCGGGTTATATCGCAAGATGGGCTGAAAATATTCGTGCAATAAAAAGTCGCAATATGAAAATTTCTGTACAGTACATTGTACCGTAGCGACAGTATGTATAATTAATAAAAGATAAGGAGTTAGTTATGTGTGTTAACCAGCAACTTGAGAAAATTTTCTATAGAAGATAAATACTTTCTTACCCTATGAAGAACCCCAATAAATTGGAAGAAATTTTTTATTAACATTTTTATGATTTTGTTCTATTTTCCGTGAATGAAACTGTTAACTAAACCATCCTTGGTGTACCGGTAAACATTGGAGCTACACTATTGTGTAGTGTTTTTCTTATGTCAGATCACCTCAAGTTCACATCATCCTGTTACAAGCATCCTCAGTCTCCGGCACGGGGATCACTCGGTGATGATTACATTTGACAGTGACACTTGACTAACTTTCTTCATGCACCTTTCTTACACAACTAAACTGCTGACAATTTATGGTGAAATTCTTCATTTTGAGTTACGGTACTGTACAGTAATTTATTGAATGACACTTTCTTGGTGTAGCTTTATTTTAGTTCATAAGGTGGTGACTCCTCGTTGGAGCAACATACTGTGCAGTATACAGTACATTATTTCACAAGTTTGTGTTCTTTTTTTCTCTCCCTGGTTTATTATCTTTTCATAAATTAATAGTTATCAGGCTTGAGAATTTTTTTCAAAAAATCGTCTTGGCCAACAGCCAAACTGCACAAGAAAAGTATCGGGAATTTAAATATTGTATCAAATTAATAATGGAATAATGTGCAGTACCTATTTGCATAATCCCCTTCAGAAAATACCATTACCTGTATTAATTTATATATATACCGGTAATTAATTTGCACGTACTGTACTGTATATATCAGTGATTTGACACGAGGCTGTATGACCTACAGGTGTTGCTGTAGCACACAGTACAGTACAGTTATGTTTAACCCTTCACCTGTAGCTAAGGATTACCTTCAGTACTCCACTCCCATACGTGCAAAGATGGAAGGCAAGGAACATATGCCGATAATGTCCGCCATTTAAGAGTTACAATATAGTACTGGGGTTGGGTTATAAAAAGTACAGTATAGTAGTTCTTAAGTTGATGATAAGGATTTAAACAAAAATCAACAGATACTGTATAGTGAGGGTATTATTTGACCTGCTATCAGTACACCAACTAGGGGAAAGATTGCCTTCATTATCTTAAGCTGCTACAGATTATAGGCAAGTTTGCTCTATAGTACTGTATTGTTCATGACACCACCTCTGTACTGTCCTGCACAAAAAAAACAACACAGCTAGATACAGTACTGTAATCATAAGACATTAAATTATCTGTCAACTCAAAACTTTAGGTACAAGAGTGGATACTATCATGAACCTGTGTCCGAGGAAACAACGTACAGTACTGTAGCTACTGATAATAAACTATAGTATTTGTGTCAGTACTGTAAATACTTCTATCATCATTCTCTCAATGGTAGTAAGTCTTCAAAAAAGTTTTCAGTGTATCAACCTTCTCTACTATCACCAGATAACTTACTCCTCAAATTCCGGTGGGGACAAGTAGACTCATCACTCACACCACCACACACAGCCAATTGCCTGATTCTCTAGATTCTTCTCATTTACTTTCTTGTAATATGTGGGAAACTAGATAGATAGAGAAAATTAATATGTATTTTTAAATTTATAGGCAATATAGAATGCCTAAATCTTTCGTGAAATATATACTGTACTGGTAGATTATTTTGTGAAGTAGATTTTTGGTTGACATATACTGTACAGTACTGATATCTCTGCTAGCCAGAGTGATTGGTTCCAAGCGGTTCCAGGATTCAGAGGTTTCCAGGTAGGGAGTCAAATTTTTTCATCGCCGGAAAAAATAGCATATCCCTGGAATCTTTCCAGGTACTAGGGAAAGTTTTCCTAGAGTCTGAACTACGCATCTCGCACAGTGGCAGCATATAATGAACTAAGAGTGTTGTGATGCAAGAGTTTGAGGAGGTAGGCTGTGAGATATATCAGCCAATCATAGGCATCCCATGTACTCACATGACAAGTAAGAACTCTGAGCCTGGTACCCACGCGCCCAGCATGCATACCCATGTCGAAAACTTGATGCAATCCTCAGAAATTTGTTCGTATTTCCAGAATGGAGAACGTATCGTACATGTAATTATTTATTACAGTCTCTCTTCAACTTAGGAGGGGGTTCCGTCCCGACGACCAGGTCGTAAGTCGAAAAGGCGAAAATAATACATAGAAATTCAAAAATGGGTGTCTCTTTTTCTTCTCAGCACCACGAGAACTCGCACTTTTACGCTTGCCAGCCATTTTAAATGGAATTACAAACGAAAATTTTGTCAGTACACAGCACGATCACTAACGCCGGGACTTGAAAATACGTAATGTGACCTACTGTATACTGTACTATTAATCATACATAAATGATGTCGAATCAGATCCGCCGTCCACACCCAGAATACAGTACATATTTGTGTGTTTGAAGTTTACTGTTTGTTTAAGAGCGATGTTGTACTAAATCTTTCCTCCTGTTTCAGGGGACAAATCCAGCAGCAAACTACCGTACAAACCTTTGTTGAACAAGAAGTTTTACTTGGACGTGAAAGGTTACAAGAGCACCGCCACCATTACAGCTGACATACACAACCTTGGAGGGGTGAGTTTGTTATGGTTCTCTGCTGTACATCACACATTGTATACAATTCTTGGGGATTCTAATCTTTTGCTTAAACTTGGGGTTAAAAGTCAGGTGCCACAACTGATACTGTATGAAGTTAAACAATTTGAGCTATTATATAAAGACTAAACTGTGTGTTTTTAATCAGTACAGTAAATATACTTGTACAGTATAGCCAATTGATCTCTTAACTCACACACTGGATTGAACAACTCAATTAAAGTCAACAGGTCTATTGGCTGTAGCAACCCAGGATGTTTATGACCCCTGACATGTTTGACTGGGACTAAATTCCAGAAACCTAGAAACTTGTAACTTAACTGTAGCCCATAAAAAGGAGGTGCTTAGAGTTACCAGTTAGGCCAAGAGCTGAGAGACCTTGCCTACTGGGCTAACACATGCACTCCATGACCCATTAGAAATTGGTTGCAGATTGGTCATCCAAACCAATCCCACTTAGTCCGTCCCCTGATTGTGCTGATAGATGTCTTCTCTTATGGTAGCTACTGTAAGTGCTCCATCTAGCTTATTTTGGATACTTACAGCATGTGGACCTTGCAGACCTTGGTGTATTATATTGTACTTGTGGGTGTGTATAATATGTTAAGAGTGTTTACCCAAATTTGGGGTGTGGCTTAAGGCTACTACAGTAAGAGGAGGTTCCACTTGTCTCAGAAGGTTTGATAGTGAATAGAATTTCAGGTTCCATTTTAGAAGTGTACATAGTTTTTTGGGGGAAGGGGGGGGATTATTGTCTGTTTGTTTATGCCTGAGTTGAAGGCACACTGGATGCCTTCAGAGGACCCAACAGCTAGCTAACTACAATAGGTGTTTTTCAGTGGGTTCATATAGGTTTATACAAGTCACCCCTGAATTAGTTTGACTTAACTATCTTTCCTGTTTCTATTGTTGGCTTGTTCGAGGCTGTAATCCCAGATAACTCACCAGTGAGGGATTTGTGGGGACTCCTGGCTGTGGGTCGGAGGTTCACACTATGGATAACTACAGTACTGTGCTGTATAGTTTTTGCCCTTGTCACAAGGCCTGTTGTTGACTGAATTTGTTTGACACTTTTTGGTGTGAGGAATGCAACAAAATGACTGGTTTCATTTTAAGAATAAGTCTGATTCTACAGCTTTTATTATTTTAAAGACAGGAACTTTTGAATGGGTGGGAATTATTGCTGCTGATTTTCTGGAAATTAAAAGAGTGACAGAGGTGTCCCCATGTCAGGGATGAAGAGTCCAATCTCTAATAGGAAAGGCATCTGTCTGTCTCTTGTACAAACCTTTTACTGTACTGAACACTAGGAGCCAAGGTCTGACTTAAATATAGGTCATAGTTTTTTAATATATTAATCTGGACTGTAGCACATGGCATTCAGATGGATGGCCATTTATACCATGTTTTATGCTGTTTGTGGTTCTCCTTATCTCTAATATAGTTGTTTATATTTACAATTTTTATTTCTTTAACAGGTTGTTGAAGAGTTCTTGACCCGGGAAGTGAACTATGTAATAAGTACCCGAGGAATCCAAACAACGGGCGGCTCTAGTAGTGAACGGCAGCCTTCCCCCAGTGGTGTTCCAGTGGCCTCCCCTCTAACTCCTCACCAGCCCCTGTCCTCCCTACAGTCAACCTCACATGATTCACCATTAAATATTGACTCTCCCAGGGAAGACACAGGCAAAAAACGTGTTGTGAGTAACTGTGGTATTCTCAAGTGTTTTATCATCTGATCGTTGAGAGTATTTCTGTATGTAATACAGCTTCGTGACAGCACATTACGGTAATTAAATTAATCCTTCTCTTAGTAGTACAAGTTCTTCCTTCTTGATAGTTACACACCTTATCCATTTTTTAAGCACATACAGGAAACTCTTTCACTACCCCTCACCCCTGACAGTTAAACATACAAGAGATAGTCACAGTCCCATGGCAGTCTTAAGATGTTGTCACATTTTCAAGATAAAACTTCAAATACCCAAAGATGGAATTAGGGTCTGTCATCTGTTATTGATTACAGATGTAAGTACCAGGACTTATGAATAGAAAACCAAACGTACAGTACAGTATAGCCTGAGGGCTTTACATTAATCCTAACTGTGCTAAAGTCGGTATTTTTTCTTTAAAAGTGAACTAAAAACCTGTATGTCGGGGTGTACAGTACAGTATTTACACCTGAAGAAGTCACAGTAATTGCATTTCATATAGCTTGAAAACTGTGCAGTACACATATTATTTTCTTTGTAGACTAGTACAGTACAGTGTACATATAATAAGGAAATAAATAAATGATATTCCTGTAAGAAATTTTATAAAACATTTAATAAGTATTTATCAACCAAGTCAACGGTCAAAGCTTTGCTGGTCTGCTTACAGCTCTCATAAACTGTACCATAAGCAGTTGAAATCCCAGAAATGGTCCCAAATTTAATTTAATTTTGCAAATGCTAAGCATAAAGATTGTTTGGCACTCTGCTGCATGTAGACTAAGAGCTTGCTACAGTATATGTAATGAAAAGTACTGTACTGTATTCTTACAGGAGAATTTTTTTTTATTTAGTGTTTCTAATCAACTGTACCTTATTCATATCTGATCAATGGATTTTGTTCATAAATGGTAAATGTCTCCTTTACATTGCAGAGAACAAGAGCAGAGGTGTTACTGGAGCGTGCTTGTGTGCGCCGCCAAGGCACCAGTGATGTAATAGAGAATGCACGTTTATGGAGTGTTCCTGTTTGGCCGTTGGCCAAACTCCTCAAGTGGTTATCTGTCCTAAAAGAAAGCAACCGTTACAGACCCCAGAAGACTCATGGTACCTTAGCCTCGAAAAGTTCCTCCTCCTCCTCGTCTTCCTCGCCAAAGGTTCAACGTATCAAAGGTCCCTTCATCAAAACAGAATCTTTTAGCAGGTTAGTAGTTACAGTTGTTAGTAGAGTGAAGTGTTATCAGATGGAAGTGTCGGTGAATATACTGTATAGTAACACCATCAAGATGTTCAGCACAGTGTCATCCTTTCTTTCTTTTTTAATACTTATACCAACATATTGAGTATTACCTTATTTATTACCTACTCACAAAGACCCACACTGGTAACTGATATACAAATGAATCAGAATAAATATAATAAGAGAATAATGTATTAGATAAGTGAATGAAAACCTTGTGAGAAGAAAATGTTCTCAAGTTGTATAAGAATGTTGTGAGAGTGACCTCCATGGGGTGGCCTGTGAACCCAACCAAACCTAGTGACCCACACGTACATCATCTTCTCTGGGAGATGATATTATTCACAGACCTCATGTCATTTACTGAAATATTAAGATGATGAACACCACGTCATCCTTCTTATACAGTATTGAATGTATTTTTATGTAGAGGAAAGACTTTGTGGGGTTGCACAAGTTTTGACTTTGCTTACTAATCAACTACCCAAGTTAGGTAGTTGGTACAGTATATGAGATCAGCACTCTAACTATAACTTCCCAGTATGTACAGTAGGGAGGGAGTTGTGTAGTGTGGAGCTTCTGGAGGGTTTTACGTCAGAAGTTCACACGTGCCTCCTGCAGTGACGTAGCCGAGGCTGCGAACAAAAGCATTCACAATTCTAGCCTTCGTGAATCACCTGTGTATTAGCCTAACTGAATACTGTACAAAATGGAATCTTGCAGGGAATTTACAAAGGATTTATGGACAAGGTTAAGTCATTGGGGGCAGTTTGTTTGTTTCTGTAGTGACTTGTATTTCTCAGCAGAGTACAGGCACATCTAACCCTGGGAAGTGGAACAGTTATGGAAAGAAATTGAATTGCTTCCCTCTTGTTAATTATTTTTAAATTTATTTTTCAGACAGTACAAACCACTCTTCAAGGAGTTGTCTGCTTGGCCAGAGTTGAATTTGTCCAATCTTCGGGGAGTTTCTCCGTTTACTGAATTCAAGCAGGTCAAAGCTCGGCCGAATCCCAAAACCTCCTCAGCACACAGGGACAACTACAGAGAAAAGTTAGTTTTGTTTAATGTTCACAGTATTATTTGAGTGTTTTTAATAATTAGAGGTCTCTCTGTATTACTTTTGGTGGGCTTCTTGTACTGGTGCAGCAAACTTAGCTTCATCAGTGCCCTCTACAGTATATTGGTCACCCCCTAATATGGGCCAATGATAAATACTGATCAATTTTTAGGGTGAAATCAAACTTGGAAATGTTCCAGGATGAGTGAACCGACACCATCACCTCTCCAATTTTGCTGAAATTTGGCACAAAAGTCATTTTTTGGCTGAAATCCATATTTTTTTCAAGTGCCCATAACTTATCCCACATTATCAGTCTAGCTATAGAATATAAACTTGGCTAAAGAAAAATGCAAGTGGAAATCATGTACATATCTCCAAGTCATTCATCTCTCAAACTTCAAAAAAATTCAGCTAAAATTTGATAATACTGTAGATTGATAAAAGACTTCAGACCAGTTGTGCTGGCAGCCCACATGACTTAAGAGGTGTGGCTTTGGCATTCTGCTATGGAAGACATACAGACTATGACTAGAATTACTTCAGGCTAGTTGTCTTGCTGTGTGGTGTGGTTCCTAGTCTGGATGAGTGTGGGATATTCTGTTGGCAATGACTTTTTTCTTTTATTCCTAAGCTGGTGTAGATCTCATAGGTTAATCATGAGGTCTCTTGGCCATAAATCCCTGATCAAAAAATGAGTAGCCTAAATCTTGAGGGAACTGATGGTGTTGAGGCACGGTGGTTGAACAGTTTTAGGATGGAATGAACCTTTTCAGAGTCAACAGCTCCTGGCTTATCCACATTGAAAGATTATTACGACACTAATCATTGAATGCTACTGAGGCATTGGCAGCCTTTGGATATGAAAACTTAAAACTTTGTGGTGGTTTCTCATGACAGTTGTTCATTACATCCCCATCCATAAAGCTGAGGTTCATATTTCGTATCTACGTGTGTGTGTGTTTGTACATCTTTATGTAAGCATGATATTTATTAAAACATTCCTTACTTGCAGGCACACGAGGGATCGGAATCGTGGGACAAAAGTTAAGGACAGCGGATACTGTGAATTGTGCTGCACCAACTACAGTAACTTACGCCTTCATCTGCAGTCTGATACACATATAGCATTTGTGAAGAACGACAAAAATTATCAAGACCTTGATGAACTTATCAACGGACAAAAACAAGGCAGTCAGGTTAGTTCTTGTGTTCATTAAACTGTTCCACTTTATGTCTGCAAAAATGGTTGAGTTTCTGCCAACACCTTTCTTTGTAGATGGCACATGGCCATTTTCTGTTGTCCACCACAGGTCCCTCACCTACACCACTAATCAGTACCTTTTGTTTTTGCCACATTCACTCTTGTTCACCTCTCTCAGCTCTGGGGCAGTTGACACTTGTGGGTTGGAACTCAAAAACATGATGGGTACAGTCCTCAGATTTCCTTGTTTTCACTCTGCTATAGATTATCATTTTCAGGATCTTTTCTTTATTTATTTTACTGGACTTCCACACAAATTTCAAGTAATGCAGTGTGCTGTACTGTTATCAGTAACTTCTATTTCTTTAATGTATACAGTATTTGTCATAGTCTTATGAATCCTCATGTAAGACATATGTTAATAAGTAATCGGTGTTCTCTGTTACCTTATCGCAGATATTTGCCGCATCCAAATGAGGTTTAGTGGATTGATGCAATCAGAGAGACGTCCGGCCAGTCTAAGCAGCGTTGCCCATAAGCGACTGCGTAAGCAACTTGTCTACGAGGTTTGTATGTTTTTAAGTTTGTAAGGCAAAATATTATACTTAGTTTGTTTATTTTTCCCTCGGGTTTGCAAGTTATTTGCCTCCTTTTGTTCATATTCTAACTTTTGCACAAACAAGGGTAACAGGAAATAAATTTTGCATTAAAAACATTTTTGTATTGTACGGTTCAGTACTTCTACTTGTAGCCTGTCCTTATTTCTATCTTTTTTAAAATTTATTTTTTCCTTTTCATTTTACTAAATACTAAAAGGGAATGAATGATATATGAGGACTTGGTGCATGTGCTTGTAACTTTGGTTTCTTTTATTCAATTTGAAGGTATTGTTCCTTAGTTTTCATTGGCCTTTTCCTGTAAGGACTAGTAATAGCTAATCTGTTTGGTAGTATATCATGATCTGTAGACATAAGGATAATCTTAATAAGCTGTGCTAGTAAAAAGTTCAGACTGTAGTACTTTCTTAAAATGTAACCTGCCATTGATATACAGTTCTGTTCCTGTATGAACCATTTGAGTCATATATCATGTAGCACTTAAGATGTAGTGTGTTTCAGCTTGCCACACTATATACTATGTTGTAAACTACAGTACTATGCTGTAATATGTTGTAACACATGACACTAATACATAACATACCTCTCTTGTATGTTGTAACACACCACACTATATAACACATGATACTAAGTGGATACAACACTCGTCTCCTGTTTTGAGAGTCATTAGTTCAACTCCAGGGATCTCCCAGTCCACACAGTTGTAAATTAGTACTTAACTAATAAAGCTTGGAAGTAATGATAGTTGAGGGCAGTGTTGACCATGCTGCCTCCTTGTGCACTGAAGGCTTAGTATTCAGGTCGTTGTATCCACACTGTATCTGTTGAGCAATCTTGCTTCTAGAATCCATCTTCACTGTAATATCTTATAAGAGACAACACTTTAATATGTTATAAGTGACTACACAGTACAGTATAACCACTTAATATCTTATCTGTCTGTACCGGTATATATAGTTTGATGATACAGCCACAGTCATTGCATTACATCACATTCATTACACATTTTTTCATGTATGCACTCATTGAAGGCCTCACTTTTCCAGGTAAGTAAAACAACCACTTAATTACACTTCTGAAAATCTTCATTATGTTTCAGAGTGTAAAACTTTAATTCATAGTCTTTTTCATATATATATGCAGTATATATATCCCTGCAATTTGGTATTCCTGAATTCAGAATTCCTACCTATTCAGAATACTTTACATTGCAGTATATAATTTGATAAAGTTACTGTAGAAGTAGATTTAAAGTCAAGAATTGGTGCCCCTGTTCATGGGTGAATGTGTGTGTATATGTGACTCCCTTCCTATTGTGGAATAATACTGTATGTACTGTACTTTTAAAATACTTTAGTAGGGCAGAGCCTTAGGTTAACTAATTTTGCTACTGAAGGCTAAAGTACTGTACTTGACGAGATGTGAAATGGGTGCTGCTTCCTGCACAGCTAGAACTAGATTGTACTGAAGACTGCTGTATGGTGAGTGATACTGTAATTTACTGTGGACTGTTGTACATCATTTTTAAATTGTAATCATTAATTCAGACAGAAATGTGCATAAATTTGATTTAGGATATTGTGAATTACACTTTGAATTTATTATGGATTGTGTTAAGCAGCGATTCTTCAGAAACGAGTATTTGATTCATATTATTGTATTATGAAATATATATAAAACAAAAAACAAATTCTATCTTACTAGGAATTCCCCCGAATTTGAAAAAGATTTGATCCTCAATTGTTCCAAATAATGGAGGGATTACTATTTATATATATATATATATATATATATATATATATATGTATGGAGGGATATATATATATATATATATATATATATACTATATATATATATGTATAAGCACTCATCTGAATCACTTTACTATCATGTACTGTACAGTAATTACTTTAAAATTCTTCCAATGTTCCCATCTTTACTTTAAACTTATGTAACTTTTTAGTACTGTGTAATGAGACTATTTCTTAATATATCAACACACACACATGCTTGTGATTAGATTTGAAGATACTTGTTTGGTACTCAGAATAGCACTTTGATTAAGGCATGCATTGCCCTCCACAATCTACAGTATTTTTTTTTTTTTTCAATGCCTAATAGCTTGGTTCACCTGCATGAGTAGACGACGCTTTTAGATTTGTGAAATATGGCTAAGAGACCTGTGAAATTGTAAGCAATGTTAGCCTTCCATTGTTTTTATCTTTACTGTGAAGCCCTTAGGGGTTGACACCTGTTTTTCCTAGTTACGTAAGATTAGGTCAGCTTCACCGATCCTTGGGAGAGTTTTGTTATCCATCTGTGTTGTGGTAAAAACTGGGGAGGTAGTTTAGGCCTACTGCTCCTTCAGGTGAAATCAGGCAGACGGGGACCCCAAGTATTAAAAACCATTAAATAAATACATGTACGTATTTCCCAAGACCTCGAAACTAATTATTCTTATGACTCATGTTTCCACCACTGTTTGTTTTGCTTCTCTGAACTTGTTGGTGTTGTAGAGTACTTCAACCAACATCATTTATGTTGTATTACATAACACGATGAAGTTAATGGTAGATTGGGACCAACGAGTGACTTAAAATAGGACATTAGTCAGGGCACCGGTGAGTCGGCAGTACCTTATCACTATTCCCCGATATGTTTAGTGAATTCAGAAAAAAACTTCATGTCATGGTGTCAATATTGGCTTCATAAGTTAATGAGAGAGAAAGAGTGAGTTTGTGGTTTATTGATGAGTGATGAAGTAGCTATGGAATTAAGTGAATTAAATAGCACAGTAATGGTGGTCTGTCCCAGAATATTAGTTGCTTAGAGAGTAAAAGGTGGGACATCATTTGTGTACTGTATCAGGAATTAATTATGAAGAGATACAAAGAAAGGGGTTTTAGGGAGACATGAATAACTGCAGTCAAAGCTTAAATGTGAGAGACAGTCATAGTGAAGGGGCATTTAAGTGCCTCTAAGAGCTGGTTTGGGAGAAGTAGTGGTCACTATGGGATAATATAAGAGTGCCAGGAGTTACTAGAATCTGACATTACTACAGGCTAATAGAAATGTCTGTTGACAGTCTAGAGAGCAACGGTGAGCAATCTGCGGCCCATCAGGTTTCTAAGTAGGACCCACGAGACATTTGTTTGACTGTTGCCCACACACACACACCTGAAAGAATCATACAAGAAGCGTGCTGATGGTTTGGTCATGGTTAGTACACAAGCCTGGTTTTAATCTTGGGTATTGAGATGAAGGCAAGCCACTCCTGCAGGTAATAGGATATTGAGAAGGAAAAATACAAAAGTGTGATGTATAAATGGAAGCATCATTGAGTAGAGAACAAATTAGGGTTTGTTAAAGGGCCATTGATATATGAGATTGGAAAGTTAAATATTTGTTAAAAAGGAATTATTCGCAGGTGGATGATAGGAAGGTGGTGAAGGGGTATAGTGTATGTAGGTCATGTGAGAATTTTATTATTGTCCACTATGATTTCTGAACCATGTACAGTACAGTACAGAGTATTGGACAAGGAGCAGTGTACATAATATGCTTTATTGTTGATGACAAAATATTTAACGTAACAAACTTAACAAGGGGAAAATTGGTCTGCACCTGTCACTTATGTACTGTACTGTACTGTACGTACATCTATTCCATCCGAGTTCATTTGCAGGATTAAGCAAAAGTAAGCTTCTTTGCATACCTCCTTGGATTACCATGGATTCTCAAGCTGTGTGATTGATTTTTGCACCAGTGTGTGGCTTTATTTGTTTCAACTGTATCAACTCCTCATCCTACATGAGTCATTTTTAGAAATTAATGAGTCCAGTAGAAGCAAGGTGACTCAGGCAGCTCCTGCAAACTTTAAAAATCCTTCCTATCTCATCATGATCATATTTCTTCAATGTGTGTTGTATGTCACGTGTAAGGTTAGTGTTTGGGTTTTAGAAGTTTTATTTCTTTGCACTAAAATTTACTCTTGGGGTCGAACATTATACGTCTTAGTGATAGAACAATAACAACCATTATTTTTTATTGAAGCATTATTAGTTTTGTTTACATTCTTGTCTTTCAAAATGTATTATTTTTTCATCCTTAGATTGGAGAGACAATTCACTCTGGTCCAACCCACGTGGCCCAGAAAGATCTCAAGGATGAGGACGTAGCAACCAAACCCAACTGTGTCTTCCCAGGTGACACACAGGAGACCCCATGTGTCCTCCATGAAAGTTGTCATCCAGTTGAAATTCCCTCCACCAGGCACTACTCTCTCCGGTTACCAGCGCCACTGTGTCCCACTGCTCAGCCTCAACCAGAGCCCCACACGCCACAGACTCAATGTGACGTGGGAGCTACAGTCCATCTCAAAGCTTCTCTGCCTGCAGCTCTTGTACCTGAAGCTATAGTGCCCAAGGCTTCGGATCTTCAAGCTACTGTTCCTCTGGAGACAGTGACAACTGTTGTCACTGAAGCTACTGTTCCTGAAGTATTGGCAAATGAAGCCACTGTTCCTGAAGTACTGCTGAATGAAGCTACAATTCCTGAAGTTACAGTGAATGAAGCTGCTGTTCCTCAGGATAAGGTAACTGAAACAGCAGTTGATGAAGTTGCTGATTCTCAGGATAAAGTAAAGGAAGCTTCTGTTCTTGAAACAACTTCTCTTGAGGGTAAGGCAACAAACACAGCTATTCATCAAATAACAGAGGAGCTTCTTGTTCCACAAAATAAAGTAAATGAAGGTGACATTCCTCAGGACAAACTGAATGAAACTCTTTTTCCTCAGAATAAGGTGAATGAAACTTCCATTCCCCAGGATAAAGTGACAGAAGCTTTTGTTCCTCAGATTAAAGTTGAACCTATAGATTTTGATGCTGATGTGAATGAAGGCACACTGCCTGAGCTTATCAAGACTGAAGCTGCTTTGCCAGACTTTACTAAAAGTAACCTTGTAATCAAACAGGAAGCTGTAATTTCAGAACCCCAAACTGCCACACCCAGAGAATCAGAATCCATTGCAGCTAAAGCTGGAGATCTTGCATCAGGTTCAACCCCTGCTCACCCTCAAGCTAGTCTACCTGTGGCCACAAAAGTAAACAGAGAAATGGTAAGGTTGATTCAAGAAGCAGATGCTAAACTTGACTCCTTTTGCCAAAAGAGGAGCAGTCGGGCATCGAAAAGGCTTAACAGTGGGGACTTCGAAGCAGTTGTAATCAAATCGGAACCGTTGTCTAGAGCAAAAAGGTGTATCAGAACTCGTAAGAGTAGTTGTCGCTCGGACAAGTCGGAGTCTGAAACGTCAGACTCTCGTAGTGTAGCAGATGAATCTTTATATTTCGATATGGTGGATAAAACTGCAAAACGAGGAAAGCCAAAGAATGGTGAGCCTCTGCTTGATGAGGCTACCACCCATATAAGTGCCAAGTACAATGGTGATGTGAGTTCTGAACTAGTTAATGGAGCTCATAAAGTAAAGGGACGTAGAATCAGTCGTGCTAATAGTGACGAGTCTGATAGTAGCTCGGTGTCTAGAAGTAACGGTAATATTGAACATAATGGTGAAAAGGTAGATTTTAGTCTTTTACTGGAGATCTCTCCTGCTGATAGAAAGAAATTTGAAAGTAAAAAGGCAAAAATAAGGCGAAAAACTGCAGACTGGTTACTTATTTCTGAAACTGAACAGTATTATAATGAAAAGGAGGAAATAATGAGAAATAAAAATAAACTGGACTCAGACAGTGAGAGTGATGAAAGTGATGATGGCACAGAAAACCAAGACTCAAAAAGTGACTGTTCTGATGAGTCAGAAAGTACGGCGAATCCGCCCAGTGGGAGGGGTAAGGGGAAAGGGAAGCATTCAAGAACTACTGATGATGATGATTGCAAACCCAGTGCGAAGAGAATTAAGGAGGAGTCGTGCCTGAGTAAAAGGAGAGGGCGACCCGTTGGAAGTAGAAATAGAAAAACCCGATATGACTTGACGATGTTAAATGACGACGAAGACGACGATGACGATGAGAACTTCTTCGGCTTCCCGGTGAGCACCAACATACCTCAGTCTACGCAACCTAATTCATCTGTGAGTTGTTCTATTCCACAGACTCGTGGCAAGGGTAAGGGGGGAAGTAAACGCTTGGCCGAAGCATCGTCCAGTAGCGGAAAAGCGGGGCGGAAACGACTGTCGGATGCGGAGAGATTTCTAAGAGACAATCGAGAATATTACCACTTTCAGGAAACTCCAGAGAGGCTCCGACGGTCCACCTCGTCAACGGGAGATAAGGAAAGGGTTATAAAAGTGGAGGAACCCGAAGTAAAGGAAGTGGATAAGAAAGAAGAGTCAAAAGTTAAGGATACAACAGTCACCAAGAAGCGTTGCGTAGTTGAAGGCTGTAGAAGAGTGACGCGTAGTAAGGGAGGCATACTGGAAGACCCAGACGCAGAAGAGAAGGACGACGCAAAGTGTTCGGGAAAGGTGGAGATGAAGGATGTAAAAAATAATTCAAAGACGACGGAAAGAATGGAAGCCAAAGACAGGGAGAGAGACAAGAGAAAGATTTCTGAGGAACACAAGAAGAAAGTTGCAGAAGAAGAAAGGAGAAAAACATCGGAAGAGGAGAAGCGAAAGGTCTCTGAGGAACACAAGAGAAAAGACAGTCGTGAAGTGAAGAAAAACTCTGAAGAGAACAAGAGAAAAGACTCGGAGGAGAACAAGAGAAAAATCTCAGAGGAGAACAAGAGAAAAGACTCGGAGGAGAACAAGAGAAAAGACTCGGAGGAGAACAAGAGAAAAGACTCGGAGGAGAACAAGAGAAAAGACTCGGAGGAGAACAAGAGAAAAGACTCGGAGGAGAACAAGAGAAAAGACTCGGAGGAGAACAAGAGAAAAGACTCGGAGGAGAACAAGAGAAAAGACTCGGAGGAGAACAAGAGAAAAGACTCGGAGAGAACAAGAGAAAAGACGGAAGAGAACAAGAGAAAAGACTCGGAGGAGAACAAGAGAAAAGACTCGGAGGAGAACAAGAGAAAAGACTCGGATGAGAACAAGAGAAAAGACTCGGAGGAGAACAAGAGAAAAGACTCGGAGGAGAACAAGAGAAAAGACTCGGAGGAGAACAAGAGAAAAGACTCGGAAGAGAACAAGAGAAAAGACTCGGAGGAGAACAAGAGAAAAGACTCGGAGGAGAACAAGAGAAAAGACTCAGAGGAGAACACGAGAAAAGACTCGGAAGAGGTCAAGAAAATATCCTCTGAGAATGAAAAGGGAAAGACTGATGAAGTAGAGAAGAAAAAGGCAAGTGAAGGTGATAAAAAGAGCGACGAAGAGAGCAGAACGGAGGAACCAGAAGTAGATAATAAAAAAACTACTGAAGGAGATGTTAAGGACATGTGTGAAGCATTAGTGCGAGTGAAGAAGGAGCTACAAACTTCCTCTAAGACCAGTGACAGCGACTCTACAGACACCATAGTCAAGAGAGGGGAAACAAAAGAGGGATCTTGGAGTGAGTTACACGATCTGTATTTTTCTTTTGAGGGCGTCCCTGAGCAGGAGTGTTGGTACCAGACTTACCAGAGATTAATAGATGGTAATGATGTCAATGAATATGTTTATGAAGAAGAACCTCTGAAATTCATATTGCCGTACGAGATGCCAAAAGAATACGTCAGGGATTTCCTCTGTTACAAAAAAGGTTTGTTATCGAAGAAGAAAAATGACCTAGCAGACTTGGTAAGAAAATCTCCCAGATGTCATGCCTCTACGCTTGCTCTCTTCTCCGACTTCATTCCCACAAGAAAAACAAAAGGTGCAAAAGTGACAAAGTCCACTCCGGTCAAAGTCGATGAGGCGTCGTCGGATGGTACGAGCACACCGGGAGCCGAGTCTATGAGAATGCAGCCTCCGGAATCTTTCGAGACTACGGAAGACTTAGCGATTCTTGCGTTACACATTGATCATGTAATGAAGTCAGAAGCAGGTAGTGAAGAGTCCTTAAAGTGTAGTTCGCGTCTTCAAGCCGAAGAATCGGGTGTGAGAAAGACCACAAAAAAACGTGGTAAGAAAAAGAGATTATTTACTGGATCAAAATCTGATAAAGGTTCAACAAGTATTGCTAAAGAATCAAAGTTGTTTGAGAGCCCTCTTGCTCACGAGGTAGATCCAGTGTTTATTGCCGGTCTTCTTGACGAGGCCAAAGACTATTTAGCCCCAGAAAACATACTGGCCCGGGAAGCTTCTGAAGTTATCGAGGACGCGTGTTTCTGTGTGTGTACCGACCGAGCTTCTTGTGACGATTTTTCTAGTGCCGATGATAATACAGAAGCGAGTTCGGAGTGCGTCTCCTTGTGCGACTCAGAAACTATTGACGGCTCTATTGTCAGTGAACCCAAACGTTGCCGTAGTGGTAAAAAACGGCGAAAGAACTTGACTGGCTGGCCCAAAACTCAAAAGAAAAAAAGACCCGTACCCTCTCACACGTCAGACGATAATGATAGTGCTATTGGGTGTGAGGATCTTGAACCAAAGAGACAGAGGCACTGGAAGAAACACGATGACTTCGGCCTTCTCGAACAAACCACGACTCAGAAACTCGCCGCCCTGGCCGAGTGTGATCGTAGAGCCTCCCCTCGCAAGAAGGCTTCCGTCTTGTACATGGACACGTGGCCAGTTAGATTTCGAACACAAAAATAGAATTTATTAAAGTATACTGGTGGTACAGTGAGTCAAATAGGTCTGAGTGTTGTATGAAAAGTGTTTATACATATTTATTATAAAATTGTATGGTATGCTTGATGATTAGTTCTTTTTTATTCAAAGATGGAACCAAGGAGTCTCAGGATAGCTCTATAAGAGATTGTGTCAGAAATCTTTGTACAGTTCTGTGTGAGCAGATTTTCAGAGGAGTGACTGTTATAGAATGTTTGGTTCAAATGTAAATTTTAAGATGAGCATTTTCTATGATTTTCAGCTATATGGAATAATCTGTCTAGTTACACACACAAATAGGTTTTATTATTCTATTTATTTTGTAGAACATTAAACAATGAGCTGAATGTTTCATTGTGTTTATTTAGTAGATAACTTGCCACTTATAAAGTCAAATTTCTGGAAGATAGATCAAATTTATTTAGAATTTATTTTTGTGAAAAATTGTCATTGAATTGTGGGGTGCCTATATCTGTGCAGTTTGATTTAATTGAATTTTCCAATTATTTTTTTATGTGGGTTCAAATTTTTTACTATAATTGGGAGTGGCTTTATATCAGCATATGCATTACAGTGCAAGAAAATGATCACAGGGGTATACAGTATAAATTTATGAGAAATTTTATTTATTTTACTTTATTTTTTATTTTTTTGATAAGTCTGGGCAGCAGCTTTTTTCTAATGTATGTTTTGTAGAGTGATCCTGTAATGTATAATAAAAAAAGGTATACATTTTGTAAATAAAATTCTTCTACTCAGAATACTGGCCAATGATTCATAAATGTGAAATAAAGAGATGTTTGTACTTCTCATCTTGCTTTATCCTACACAATTTGCAGATATTTTTCAGCATTAAAAGAAGCAAGACTTCCTTTGATGAATGTGCTTTGGCAACATTGTTGATTGGATAATTCTCTACTATTGTTTTCTAACACTGAACATGGTACAAAATACTGTATATTGAATTTATGGTTGGATGTAATATTGAATTATTATATTTTTACTCTAATAAATATCTATCATAGGTTCCAGGTCAAATGGTTCCCAACTTAACCTAACCACTAACATTTGGAGTACAGTAGGATAAGGGTTCCTAAACCAATTGGTATGGTTAGGTTAGGTTGACTTCCAAATGACCAGTTACTATATCATGTGCATAAAAGATAATGTGGTCAGTATTTAGTGTACTGTATGTGTGCCAAGTACACATTCAACATAATTTGTCAGAAATGCTTTATAAATTTACATAAATTCTCTCTAACTGCCTTGGAAATTTATATGAAATTCTGTCACTTATTCCCTAAATGTCAGGCGTTTTGATTGCTACCTATTCTCTACAGAGTACGTAACATTCTTTTTGTAGTTTATGGATCAAGGACTTTGTTCCAGCCTTCCTACTCATTACACACAAATAGAGCTTAAAATATTTATACCAATTCAGAAATGTAGGTACAGTACGTTGTTCAGTACTGAGAGGATGTGAAGCTCAGAATAGTTTTTGGCATCTTTTGAAATAATTATGTATTTTTTTTATATCTATATATTTACAATGATGTATAATCTTGTATATGCAATTTTATGAGAACTGTAAGTTTAATTTTCATAATAAATATACTGCCAAATGTCAGGCTCACTTCTCGACCACTGATATGGTCTTGGTCAGGGAAATGTTCTAAAGATCAGTGTTTGAATGACTATATAAAAAGTTATATGCCATACTTGTCCCCATAGTTATATACTGTACTGTACTATACTGTATTTGTATTTACTCAGCATAGTTAATTATATGGTGTACAGTACAGTACCTCCCTCTCCAGTTAATCACACGCTGTATACTTGTGTTTCCTGATGCCAGCTTCAGTTTTGTAACAGGTAAGTACAGTAGTAGGTGAAGGGAGTAAAAGCTTTGGTATGTGTTTTATCATGTACATCAGGGGTGGGGAAACTATGGAGGTCAGGGGGCTGGCTTTAAATTACAGTATAAGAGAGTTCTTTGGGGGTCATCTATTATTTTTAATGTTAACAATGCAGTTTTGCTATTATAAGTTAGCATTATAATAGTACTATACGTATATACAATATGTATATATATCTTCTAAATTTCATCCAAATCTACTGATAAATTCTATACCCAAGTCCCCCTTTAAGAGAGAGAAAACAAAAACTTTGAACTTGAGTATGGTCGCAGTCCACCTTGAGACCTTCAGCGGGGGTCACAGTTTCCCCACCCCTGATGTAGAGTGTGAGAGCAAGTGATTGTACATGGAAGTGTACATTCATGAATATATGGACTGAATATAGGCTAGTGATTGATGCTTACTGCAATGTATATATTTGTACAGTGCAATATTGTATCTACAAACACTAATAAAGAACAGTACTGGACTGTACAACCTAGAGAGAGGTAGAATTGAGAAAGTTCTGTGATACAACTTGGGAGAAAGTTAGGAATGAAAAAGTTCTAGGTTCAGTTTACTAACTGCACTTAGAACCTGAAGAAAGGTAGAAGTACAGTACAGCATATAAAACAAGTGTTACCTATGAATGTAAAGGGTGGCAATGAAAGAGTAAATATTGTAGGAAAGCAGAGATTACAGGTAGAGGTCTTTTTAAAAAAAATTATGCTGAAAAAAGTAATTTGTTTTTTAGGGCTCAATTCATTGAATAGTGTTTGAGTAAAAGAATAAACATAGGGTATCAAGGGAGATGGTGATCAGTGGAGTAGATGACAGACTGGAATGTTGCTGATTTTAAAAGGAGGCAAAGGGGGATGTAGAGAATTGTTGAGGCGACATAATTTGGGTGCCAGCAATTGGAAAGGACAAATAATGTGCAAAAGATTGAAATGAGGGGTACACAAGGTTACAAAGACTGAATTAAGAACAAGAAGTATATGCAGTGTTTGATATAGGAGTAAATCAGGGTTTCTTCAGGTACAGTACAGCTTGATCTGTACCTTAAAGATACTGTATTTAGTTTTCCATTGATGCCTCCCAGGACACACAAACATTTACAGCCATTTTAAGTATAATTTGTGGCCGTTTTGTGAGCATTTTGGTGCCCTGTTGCATGTATGTTCTGTTAAACATGAACAACAAAAAGGCATTCCTGACTCCTTATATACAAAATTAAAAAATGGTGAACACTTTCCACGATATATATTTAAATTGATAAATATTGTAATTCTTTTTGTGCAAATTTCAAAATATGCACCAAGTTATTTTGGAGCACTTTCAACATAGTATATGGCTCAGTGTGTGCAGGTATAGTACATTACTGTTATATTACCAACCCAAGATGTTGGCTCAGGGACCTATCCTTTGTATGAAGTGACTTTACAGTATATGGTTGGTATATTGTAGCATGTACAGTACAGTAATTTGTTATACAGTACCTGTACTATATACTAATGAAAAGCCACAAAGTTAAATTTTTTTATACTATACTTTACCTGTCTATATGCAGTACAGTACTGTATAGGAAATATATCGGGTGTCAACAAAGGCATCTGGGAGTATTTCTATGTCAGTCAGTGGTCTGGGTTGTAAATGAGTTAAATTATTCACTGTCATGTACTATACTGTATATGTCTGGTCATTGTTTGATCAAAGAGAACAATAGGATATGGAAAGTTCAGAGTAAGAAACTCAAAGGTGTGAGTAAAAAAAGTGAAAGCCAATGAACTAAGGAAAGGCCAAAATAAAATACTGGGGAAGTTGATGAGGGAGGAGACGAATGGGGGCAAGTTAAGAATACAGTTGTGTAAAAGCCGGGTGTGCGAGGCTGTTAAAGAAAATATACCGTACACAAATGAAGGTTACTTAATAATCAGAGACAAATATTCTGTACGCAATTTAATTATTTGAGCAGACTTTACAGACTCTAAACATGCACTCTTTAGGTACAATCACTTATATACAGCAGCACAGTAAAGCCAGTGTTTTTGTGTGTTGGTTCATGGGTTCTGTGAGCTGAAAAGTTCCTTTATGCAACTGAAAAAAGTTTTACATATATTAAAAAAAAATCAATAAAATAATCTTTTAAAACATTACAATAGTTCCTTTATATATTTTGTAATACTGTATACAGTAGTTATATATCTATACATGTTTGTTTGAATAAAAGCAAAGCAGGACACCAAACCAGATTCCTGAATGTTACAGCTAAAAACAAACTTTTCATATTTAACTTTTTGGGGTTGGGATCTAAAGTACATAGTGGGAAAATACAACACTGGCCCACTGAAATTATGAATATCAGAGTAGGTGAAAATAACCAATGAGACTTATGAAATAATCCAAAACTGATTCTCTGTACAGAACAAACACTTTACAAGTTCTGGATAAGACTCCATTTTGTGTCGGTTACTGGCACTATAATTAGCCTTTTGTTTATAGTACATTATAAACTTACAATTCAGGAAGTACTTTACCAATACAGTAATTATGACCAAATCACATTTTAATATAAAAATTCTGAATAGAATACTACAATAATTCTCTGCCAGCACTCCAATGTTGGGTCAACAGAAACACATCAGCTCCATGGCTACTGTACAGGTACATCCAATGTTAACCTAACTTCAGATTGCTAGCTGGATTGGTCCTAATGCTAACATCCCAATTTATGTGGACTATATTTGGTTTTAATAGTGTTGCCATTCAGATGCTGTTTAAATAATTTTTATAGGAATTTGGGAAAGATAATATTTTCTCAACATTTACCAAAGCTAACACCACAACTGGCTTACCAGCCAATACAAATGTCAGGCTATTGTAGTCTTGCAAGTTAGGTTATTTCAATATCTGTATGATTCATTATTTCGTACTATGCAGTTCACTCACTACAGCATTCCACGTGTTACAACTCCTGACGGAGGAGGACTTCCAAGAGTGTTTAAACCCATTTCTGCTTGCTTGACTTTTGTTAAGGATGCTAAAGCCTGTGGAAATAAACAAGACAATTAGCTTAAAAAAGCAATGAAGCAAATGTGGTAGTGTAGTGTTTATAATATAGTGAGTTGATGAAGTAACTTTGTCCTCACTTTGAGAGGTGAAGGACAAGATGCACAAATCATTAAGGTGCCCAAAGGAAATCATCCCAGATCAAGAATTGGAGTACTGTACTACTGTGTAAAAGTCTTGCAAAAATATTAAGTCAGGATGCACATCAACTCCATTATAGAGTCTTAATGTCAAGTATATTAACTAAAGTTAAGCAGTCATCATCATTGTTTTATGGCTATTTTCTGTCTGTGTGGTAATGATAAGTTGGTTAAGAAAAGCGGAAGAAAAAATTTTCTCATGCAGCTTTAAATATTTCTCATAATATCACATTCAATGTAACAAACTCAACAGTACTGTACTTACTCTAAATGATCGTGGTTCCCATACAGCCATATTCTGCAGGATCTTTCGATCTAGAGCAATTCCTGTGTCATTCATAACTGCCTTCATATCGGAGTACTTGGTGCCCAGCTCAAAACATCCAGCATTAATTCGTGTATCCCACAACTGAAGTTAAAGGAAAATTAAATTAGTGGTAACCTGTTAAGTAGATATTTTTCACTTTACATATGGCTGTAGACAGCACCTTGGAATTATGGTGTGTCCTGAGTTAGTGTACCAGCAACTGATGTATTCCTTGGCAACTGGAGGCAGATAAGGAAGATGTACATGAAAGAGGACCATGGTCTTGAATGTAAAAGGTTTGGAGAAGAAATCTCTACATCTTCAGCTATGGCTCTTGTGGTTATTGAGATGCTCAATTCTGATGTAAAGATTCTAATAGAGTGATCCTGTGTTATTATATGTACAGTACTTAAAGAAACCTGGCACAGTGTAAATACAGTATAGTATAAAGAATAAATTAACTTACCTCTCTATCATCAGCTTTCTTCAGTTTACGTGCTCTAACTCCATAACGTAAGGCTCGGTGGACGTATTTAATGGCTATTGAATAACAATTTTGTTTGCGACCAAAGAAATGCTGCAAAGATAAAAATCCATATTAAGCAATTAAAATTCTAAATATGATTATACAGCAGTAATATATGGCAAACCTCATCTAACCTAACATAATCTCAAAAATTGTAAAAGTGATCAGTGGAATTTAAAAATATACTGGTTATATTAATCAATAAAACTATTGGGTATTATTGCATAAGTTACCCGGTATTGAGACTTATGGTTGCAATCAATAATTTAGACAATTCTAACACACTTTTACTATGACGTCTCCTTCACAAATGACTTGCACTATAATCCAAGGGTTAGGATAGATGAGAGAAATGTTAGAGAAGAAAAGTGTTAGAATTGTCTCAACTATTGATTGCAACCATATGGCTCCAAATTTAATACCAGGTTACTTAAGCAAATATACCAACTACTGTTATGTAGTCTTTGTTCACTTAATTTTTGTGAAATATTATGTATAAATGTTATTTTCTGACCAAGCCATCCCTCAGATTTGAGGTTTGGATCTGTCCCTGGCTTAGAAACCTTAGCTATTGAAGGGCAGTAATGTTTGGTAATATTGTGTTTAACCACGAGCACTATTATTGACAATGCGAGAGACTGGCAACTTTCCGAAGTATTAGATAACCTACCTAATCTAAACTTGAGCTTCATATGGTTTATTAGGTTACCGGGTAAGTTAGTCTAGTTCAATTAATGAATGATAAATTATATACTGTAATAGTAAAAATATCTGATATATTGGAAAATTCAGTCTCACCAAATGTCATAAATGGCACTAGTAGTTTTACACCATTCAATAAAATATCAATCATTAAACATTATCCTGCTATCCTTACAGTGGTATTAACTTACTCACTCAAGATCAAACAACTTGGCTGTTATAACAAAGTCCTCAGTAACGAAAACCAAAACCTTATGTTACAATTTATCCTTTGTGTAAAATTGAGTCTAGTTAAAATACCCCCATATTAAGTCCACGCACCCATTCCTCTGAAAGAAAGAACAAAATATAAAAAATACCATATAATATAATCTACTAGTATTAATTAGAATATAATTACCGAAGATAAAGCTAATATCCTCCTTCTCTTCCAGTACCTGTCACCTCCTCTGGCTCGGGCGAACAGTGTGGGGGAAGTGATCACCATCCTCCCTCTACACTCCTGGCTCAGAGATATATAACAACACGACTATATCATACAGGGAGACAGTTATGGTGCTGAATAAACGTCTTGTTATATTATATAGTTGTGGAATTATATATATCGTCCTCTCTTGACTCCCTCCCTGAGCCTCTAGCAGAAGACAGTGTTGGGCGAACACCTGTACCGACCATTATGACTAAGAATTAATTAACACTAAATAAAGATGAAGAAGAATGATATACAAGTAAATGAGAATTGTAAATGATGATAAAAATAAAAATGAGTTAAGAAAAATGAGAAATAGAGGGAAAGAAAAGGAATATAGGTGTAATGAAAATCGTGCGTCAGGAACCGTTTGTGAGGGAGGTGTCCGCTGGTGGGTGTTTGCTGCCTCGTACCAGTGTAAACAACTCACTCAGTAAACAACTCACTCAGTAAACAACTCACTCTGTAAACAACTCACTCAGTAAACAACTCACTCTGTAAACAACTCACTCTGTAAACAACTTTAGTCTCACAGTTAACCAATAGACATTTAAAGGTGATTCACTCAATGGTCATTAAAGTACTATCAGAAGGTAGTACACTATAATATGTCCTCCTGGTTGAGTAAGTATAGGTGTTGTTGAGTCATTACCGCCAATTGTTGAGTAGTTTAACCTAATGATTTTACTGAGGGAAGGTTAGTGGTTTGTGTAGGATCCTTCCACTGTTCTTGTATAGGGTAAATATTAACCTAACCTAACCTAAACACTTAAGGTAAATGTTACTTTTAGTCCTATAATCTTCTAGTGACTAAAAAATATATTATTCCTATGAGTGCCATATCTTCTTTATTATGCATTTGTGACAGAAATATCATAGAAGAAAATTGTCTTATAAATTTCTGTAGATTTCATGTATGTTGCCAGATTTATCGTAAAGAATTGTAGGACTAAAGTTAACAAATACCCTTGATAGTCTTGTATAGGGATATTTTGGTGGCCAGTACTGTTCTTGATTCCACATTCATGTATACAGGGCCATGATGACAGCTACAATGTATCCTCCAACTACTCCAGATATTGTATTCTACTGACGGGTTACAGGAATACAGTGGTGATGATGGCCACCAGAGGACCTCTGCAGTTAACACTTGCACTTTTTAAGCCAGACATCACCCGAGTGCCTCATGTGGTGCAGGTGAGTTGATACTGTACTGTATTATACTTAACTAAACAGGTAAACTATATTAGAGTTATCGTAATGGATACAGGTACGGAAGCTGTATTGATGGTCTGTGTTGTTAATTGTTAGGTTAGATTATAGGTTAGGTTAGGTTAGGTTAGGTTAGTCAGAAGGAAAAGGTCATCATAGTATCTTTCATTGTAAACTGTATCCACCATGCCTGCACATTAGGCTGCCGTACCAATAGACATCAACGTTTCACACACGGCTGCTATACCTGTTTCCTGTGCTTATATTGAGTTAAAATAAGCCTAAATGAACTACTGGGTAATGTTACTACAGGTATTATTACTCACATCAATAATTAAGTTGTTCATACCATTGTTTAGGGATTTTATAGTTAAATTACATGTACAGTTGCTGATATAATTCCCTGGATACCTTTTGATTTTGCTTTGAGATCTTCATCCTCAACCAACAAATTACTGTATGCCAAGTGGATAAATCAAATGCTGTATTGTTCTGTATTGTATTGTAAAGTATTCATACAATTTAGAAGCTGCAGTTAATTGTTTCACTTAACAAATAAATTATAAATGGATATACTGTACCTGTATGAGTGGACACATCTATGACTGTATAAACACATGTGACTACAGTACTTGAACTGTCCGCTAATGTACAGTACAGTATTTAGTTTCACCCCCTCCCCCCCAACAAGTCATTGGCTTCCTCTTTTTAGATACTGTATTATTAATTGCCTATTAACCTCTTGTGTATGGGATCTCTCTGCTGAAAAAGTCACCTTGTGTTAACCAAATAGAGACAGGGCACATCCTATATGATAATGCAGTAATGTTTCTCATCAGGCTATACGCAACAGGATAATACAAGAGGACTTCTTTGTTGTGCGGCACAAAGAGGTCAGGTTGTCTAGGCAAGACACAGAACAGTTTTACGAAGAACACCGGGGAAAATTTTTCTACAACAGACTTGTAACTTTCATGTCCAGGCAAGTGTTTTGTTTTTCTAATGCTTCTCTGTAACATATTGTATAAGACAACAACAATATTTACACATTTGTATTTAAGTGTGAAGTATTTTTATGTTCTATATTTTGTTTTAGTAGTTTATCATACTCTTGAACTGAGTCTTATTAATACTTTTGATTAATACTGTATTTCCTTTAAACAGTGGACCCTCCCAAGCTCTCATTTTAGCTCACGAAGATGCTATCAAACATTGGAGGGCATTAATGGGCCCAACTAAAGTGTACAAGACCAAGTATGAGGCACCAGACACTATCAGGGGAATGTACGGCCTCACTGATACCCGCAACTCCACCCACGGCTCGGGTAACCTGTAAACCTTTCTCACACAAATTAAAGTTTGAATGAGGGCCATGAATTTTAACTCTATTTGCAGTGAACCACATTTCTGTTGATCAACCTGTTGTCTTTATGCCTCGTGCTATTTTTGTATAGAATGGCTCTTCATCTTTATATCAATCGTTCTCTCATACTCTGTTGCCTTCACATAATAATAATAATAATGATGCTCTTACATATATTTTTACCAGTGTCTCTCTCACCAGCCATGCGCAACACACGACCAGATTATCAAAGTCTGATCTCATCCTTTTGACTTACAGAGACTTTCTAACTTGTGAATTTTTTTTATTACATCTTCATTCTTTACCCTGTCCACTCTCCAAACCTCTGTAGTTCAAATTTTAAGTTATTTGTTTGTAATATTATGTATACAGCTCCTCCCCGACTTACGACGGGGTTAGGGACCCAAATCCAGGTCGTAAGTCGAAATGGTCGTAAGTCGAAAATGCTTAAATAATACATAGAAAATCTAAAATGGGTGTGTCTTTTTCTTCTCAGCACCACAAAACTCTCACTTTTAAGCTTGCCAGCCATTTTAAAGTGAATTACAAACAAAAATTTTGTCCGTGTACTGACGTTGGGACTCGAAAATACGTAATTTGACAAAATTTTGGTACAACCGAGGCAGGTCGTAAGTGCGGGTGGTCGTAAGTCGAGTAGGTCATAAATCGGGGAGGAGCTGTACTGTAATAAATATTTGCCTCAGAAATATTCCCATTATTGGTTGTTTATTGAGAAGTAGTTTATTATTACCTTGCCTTTGGTGGAGTGGGGGGTAGTGGAGAGCTCTGTCTATAGCTCTTATTTGTTTATTATCGATCTTTGTTTTACCTGTATTGCAGTGATTAATTAGTTGATTCATTGTTTCCACATACAATATAGTGATTTACATAAGTGATTTAAATTAGAGTGATTTAAAAAACAACCAACTCTGCATTTTACAGTAATTTTCTATGCTTGTGTGAGTAAGGTGACACTCTGCTTTACACAAGATGACCAACTATTTTATGACCTGAACAGCAAACTTTGTGATGGAAGATGTCACAGTAAGAGAGATGATGGAATTAGTTGTACCAGTAGTCTGGTCATTTTATATAAATATCGTTCAGTGAATTAAAATCTTATTTCAAGTACTGTATTAACACCAACAGATGCAGAAGAAACGGCAGCGAGGGAGATGAAGTTTTTCTTCCCTGAGTTCTGCCAGGAAGACTGGTACAGGGTCGAGGAGGACAGGTTCAGGAAAGGTCAAGTACGGTTAGATGAAGTCAAGTTTATGCACAACTTATTTTGATTTTTTTTTTTTTTTAGAATATTTATTAACACCAATACACATCTCATAAAAGAAAATAGTTGAAGAGGAATCTTAGTTACTTGTGATCAAAGCCAAGATTTTTCATTTTATCCATTTTAAATTGTTTCTCTGCAGACTTGAGAAACAGAGGACACAGTAAACCCTTGATACCTGCTGGACTCACACTCCTGTAAAATTACATGAACATAAAATTTGACAAAATCAGATTTAATGACTTTTGGGGAAAATTTTATTGCAAATCTGAACCCAAAATTTCTGCGTAGTAGCCCACTAAATTTAATACTAAAATACTTTACTACCTTTTTTTATATTAATTATTTTTATCATCAAACTACTGTATGTGTATGATAAGGCCAAAAACCCCAGTTCAGTATTTTGGTGAGTGATGGGTGACCACACTCGCCTCAGGGAAGCCTTGACTGAGTGGCCACTTTTGTCTTGTTACAGTAGAGACAGTGCTTGTGTTTGCTCTTGGATTTTCAGTTCTGTTGTTTTTAGATTTTTTTGTACTGTACTGTATTATCATAATTGTTTTTACTTTTACATATTCACTTTGGAATGAAAGGCATAAGTAAAGTAGAGGTACAGTAGAGAAATATAGAAATATATGAGAAGTACTGCAGCAAGATTTCTTGATAATTTGGGTGGTGGAGGAAGGAGTCCTTCACCTCTCCACCACACACCACATTGGCCAAAGAGCCTTCAGTGGTCTGGGTTTAACCACACTGTCTGGCTCACCCATTTGTGGTGTATGAGGTGCCACCACTAAGCTGGCTCTTATTGAATTTATGATTTTCTCATTTTTTACTCGAGAGCAAAATCTTTTTCATAATTCATGTGTTGTATTTTATTATTTTACTTAACTCCAGGTATCGTCAGCACTATAGTGAAGTGGACAATGTAGATATAAAATTATGGTCATCGTTGCTTTGTTTTGATATGTCAAAATCACGAATTATGTAACCACTCCAGGTTCAGTTACGGAAAAAGGTCCAGTCAGTCCTCCGTCACGTCCACGAACCCTGAGACTCGTGAACCTGTGAATCCGAGACATCACACATTGTTGAGCCCATAGACGGTGCACTGTGTCATGTGTCGGAGTCACAGATTCATGAGTCTCAGGGTTCATGGATGGGATGGAGGACAGTTCTCACTTTTCTTACTAGGTTCAAGTTTTCAATGTTCCTGATGATGCCATTTACTCTTACACTCAGTAGGATGATTGTAAATAATAAAATGATAATTTCTACAGTACTGTATATAGTTTTTTACTGTCATGCTGATAGTTATATTAGCCAAATAGTTGGTGTTTTGTTGCAAGGGATGAGCACATGGTAGCCTCCCCACCTCTACAAATCCGGTGGTTGTCTTAAGACCACATAGTACCTCTTACATGGACAGAGTCATAGAGAGAGAAATTTTAGCCATCACTCTTTCCCAAAGTCTTACCATAACAGAATTCGTCAGATCTCTACCCATAATTGCTCCAATGTTAGCCACATGTTCTCCCACATGGAACACTGCTGTTGTCAGTGGGCTGCAGGTGGTGATGTGACACTCCACCTTCTTGGTTCATTGAAAAAAAAAACTTATCAAAGGTGTCATCAGTAATTATCTCACCAGAAAACTTCCAACACTGCTTAATCACAGAGGTAATCTATCTATTTCTTTTATAATTACTGTGATACCTCGGTTTACGTGGGTTTCGTTTACGCGTTTTGTCATTTACGCTGTACCCTGCCAGAACCGGAATGCCCAATTTACGCGGTGCATCTACTCATATACGCGGAGAGCGGCTGGTGGTTCGCGCCGCCAGTTTTGGATTCAAACCTCCCATCATCCCGCCATGCTTGGGCAAGCGGCGCGGGTAGGTTGCGCAGTGGATGCCTCTGTTGTGTTATCGCTGACGTCATATGACGTATTGGACTGTTTAACGTAAGTGTTAAACCTTGATTTTTTCTAACCTAACCTAACCTGACGTAAGTGTTAAACCTTGATTTTTCTTTTACCTGGTACAGTATATTACATATTCTCTTATTGATATTTCTCTTCTGTATTATGTGTGTGTGCATACCATCATAAAGTTAAGATACTATTTTTACTACAACGTAGGTATTGTGTCTGAAAAAGTGGAGTTTGGGGATCGGCCCAGTCTCTATTTCAATTAATCCCATATGTTCTGTTATTCCATTTACGCGTTTCTCGTTTTACGCGCTACTTCGCGGGTTCAATTGACCACGTAAATCGGGGTATTACTGTACTTTCAATTATGTTTTAATGAACTACTACATTTAGTAGTTCATCACTATATCCATCATCAGCCAATGAGGGCATCTTGGATGGCCAGTGCCTTTTCTTCTATGCAGTACAGTACTGTACAGTAGTTCTATTTTGAAAAACTTATGATTCATTTATACCCTGGAGTAGCATCATCATATTACAGCCATTTTCCATGCTTGTGTGGGTTAGCTGCAATTACTTGATGGCAGCTGTTGGATAAAACCAGAGTGGGATGGCCCCTCCCACTCACTCATCACTGCAACCCTAAGGTATGCAGCAGGGAACAGGGGATGGCAGAACAGTTTGTATTGGTTGTGTTTGTGTGTTTAAATAAATTGCTTATAAGTATAAAGTTTATTCACAAGACAGGACTACAATTTAAGGCCTACAGTAAGTCATACAGTTTAGAATTAATTTTTGGCACACATGTTTGGCTTCTGTTTTTTGCCCCTTCATGGATGCATTGTACAGCTGTTTGATCCAATTTTCAGTCTTTTTGATGTTTTCAAGGAGACAATACTGTTCCATATCTATGAAAATACAGAGCATTAATGTTTTAATTAAATATTACTAGTTTTCTATATGAAAAGGATTCTTAAGACAAAAGATGTAGCAGTGGCTATACACTGTAGTGAATTTAATAACTACAGTAACTGTAAATGTAATGTGACTGTTGTTAATAATGGGTTAGTAATGTCCACCCAAGTTTGGTACATATGACATATAATTTAATTTGAAAATATACTTGGATGTAATTATTTAAAAGTAGAACCAAGTGCTTTGTGTCACCGAGTAACCCATTATTGACAGTGGATTGATAGTTTGGTGTGGACAGAAGATTCAATCGTCACAAATCACTGTATTATCAAGAAAACAAAACATACTTTATAGGAGGTCTTTTGCTAAACAGGAATACTGTACTGTATGTGAATATTTAACTAGCACAATAACAAATCCTCCAAGACAAGACATAAGGATGGCAGTGAGTGGTAACCAACGGGAGCATCTGTCCACAGCCAAATTATCCACATTTTTTGAAAACTCAACTACTAAAATGAACCGCATTCAATGGCAGTACAGTACTCTAATAAGTAGAAGGTAGACACAAGATTAACGACTAAATCAACTACCTGTAGGATTATTATTATGTATTTCCTAATATGTCATGCATGCACTAACTGAATTGTTCATGTGAGTTAAAAGTTCTGAGATTAAAGAAATGAATATTTTGATAAATAGTCCTACATACAATCTCATCCTCCCTATGATCTCAGTGTGTAGTGCATTAACTGCTGCAGATTACCTTGTACTTGAACACTATTATAATTACTCATGGCTAGGATTTTGCTTCCATTTCATGATTACTATGTAGGAGACATTCAGATAGTCAAAGACAGTAATACCAATGACACACAACATTTACAAACCATAAATAAAAGACCAATTAGATAGCAGGTGCTTCTGTTTATCAAGGTAGACCATAGATTCTTGAAAATTTGTCATATGATGAAACTTTTGAGGACTTGACCATCAGATTTCCTCGTCGGTGAGAGAAAAAAAAAAGTTTAGAGATGAGACATAGAATGATAATGAGAAGAGTTGCTAACCTTTCCCTCAGTGGTAAGTCTGTCTTCCTCTCACAGCTACCCAAAAACTAACTCACAGCTCATGGAAAAGTTTGTCAAGGTGTACATACAGTGTTAGTGAAACTTTCTTATATATAGGCCAGGATTTTCTTAATTTTAGGACTGATAGGAAATTTTTTGTTGTTTTTTTGGCTGGCTGTCAGAAGAGGAAGTCTTTGTCCCTCAGTATACATGATATTATTATGAAGGGTGTTTGTTTTCAGCATGTGTGTTGGTGTCCATCATCACAGTGAACATGTTGGTAAAACGTTTAAGATATTTTTATATGTATCTCATGTACAGTACAGTACAGTACAGGTAAGCTTAACTTAGCTTACTAGAGTTCAGCTACTCAACCAGGAGCTGCTAATCTCAACACTTTCATATTTTTTGGATATAATTAATGTAGAAAAAGAAACTTACTGAAGAGAGTAACACTACAATGAACTTAAAGGGAATATTAGTTATGATAAATCTGCTCTTGATGACAAAACAAAGCCTACAGCCTTGTAGTTGATATTCTGGCCAAAAATCTAATCATTAGCCTCAAAACTTAGTTTTCAATGCACAAGAGCCAATGTCAGTGCCTCGTTTCTCAATATTTAAGTTAACATATTGACCACTTGTGGGGAGGAACTTGAGAATGTGAAGCTGTATGTTCTTCACTTGTGCTTCTTGTAAATGTAGAGCTTCTCAAAATGAAATTTAAATAAATTTGACTGAGCTTCAATGACAAAAGTGATACTTTCAGTAAGTTTACTAATGAGAAGGAGAGGTGGATGTTGTAATCTGAGCTGGGGAGGCTAGTGAGATGTGTTCAAGGATACTGAGAAGGTCCTAGGTAAGCTAAGAACTACAATAATCCTACCACAACAGATACACGGCAGTACAGAGACATGACAGTGGGCCTTAATGGTTAAGAGTAAAGGTCTTATTTAGAGAGGATTTCTTTTTCTTTTACCAAAGTTTTTTATTTCACTTCTGTGTGAGAAATTCATTTATGTTTGATTCTGCTTGTTGAGTAACTCTTCCAAAGGAAGGTGAATATTCTTGATGAATATTCTCTTCTAAAGCAGAAACCAAGGCTACACCTCTCTATCCCCATCTCTTGTCATGCTCAGTTCTTTAATATTCACCTTTGATCATTTGAAGAGTAGAAAAAAAATCCCTTATTAATATCTTGGCAGGTGACCAAACCCAAATTTGTATTTGGCACAATATTTGGCAGAAGAATTACATAAACAAATAACCTCCGTCCCATAACACAGAAAAGCATCCAAGATATAACTTTATATAAGATAACATGTCACAAGATGCTTTTGTTTTGATACAGTGAACTGCCAGTACAGTACCGTTGAACTGTGAAATGTTTAAAAATATCCATCTCTTGTGTACTAGAAAAAAATAATTATTATTATGTATATTACTTATAGTTCCAACTCTCTGCCCTATTAAGCATTGAAAAATATCTTTGCTGATGTAGTGGTAATTAACTACTCAGCCACGACTTTGTGAAACAACATATTCAAGCTTCCTGTCGTCCAGGGAAGGTTAGACCGAGTCTCAAAACTATGAGAAGTTTACTGTTTCTCATTAAGTGACAGTAATTAATTATCAATCCAAAATAATTCCAAGTTATCATAGAAATTGATGCCAAAAATCAGCGAATCAAAACCAACTCACAATTATGCTTGAACACAACAGTCCTACTGGGGAAGGGAACCAACCCAGCTGTGCTTTCTTTCTTTCTTTAAACCCTTCCCAGCTTTGGTCAAAATACAAATCTTTCTGAAATCCAGGTTCAAAATCCTTGACAAAACACCCTCAGCAGTGACTGTAATCTGGGAGTGGGTACACCATCGTCCTTCAAGGGTACCTCTTAATTCAGTGCCGGCCGGAACATGAGGAACAGGGTCTTGGGATAGTAACTCTCTCCGCGCCAATTTTGCCACACCAGCACAGGTCCTAGTTCAAAGTTGCGGGACTCCACTGAGGTTTTGGGTGGGTCACCGGGATTGTTCTGGTACCGGCCAGTTGGGTGAGCTTGGTAGCAGCCACGGTAGCCTCGGTACCACCAGCCTCCACTATTCCTCTTAGCACAGTGACCACCTGGAATATATGATATATGTAATTAAATTTTAAATCTTAATTTTTTGGGAAATTAAAACATCTTCATTTAGACATACTAGTTCCTTGGCTTGGTTTGTTTCAGTAAAGTTATTTCAAAGCATGATAAAAGTCTCAATGTGTATGGCCTAAAGTTAAATAAGCATAATGTACTGTATACATTATAGTTTTAGACATTATACAAACATCTGGATGAATATATCTATAAAATGTTCTTTGTGATCAGTGAATATTTGGGTTGATTTTAGATCAATATATATTTTCAAGTAAGTTTTGGTATACTGTACTGTACAGTATCCTTATAAATTATTTCAGTGGTAAGTTACTACATTATAGTATATACAGTACTACCTTTATATATATACCTGTACTGTAGTTGCCTTAATGTAACTAATAACTACAGTGCACTGCTACTCAGACATGCATGACAGATTAGTAGTTGTCCTCCTTACCCAGCAGTACATCATTGTCACGGTCCGGTGTGGAGAACTTCATGCCGTTGTGCCACTTGAGGGCGTCTCCGGCCTGAGACATGCTGGTGTAGCGGATCACCTTCAGTCGGTACTTCTCGCTCTCTCCCGCCACACTGCCGGGTGCATGAAGAGGATTTAATCTTAAGTATATTTCAGTAGCTTTATATAAATTAGTTACACATGGTTGGTAGTGTTAATATTTTTGTTATATCTAGTACAAAATTCTTACATTATTTCTGTGTTTAGTAGCTGAAATATACAGATTAGGAATATTTAAACTACCTGTAATAATTGAAATCAGTAAAAAAAAACCTAAAATTTACTTAAAAAACAGCAAATAAACAAAATTCATTACATAAATCACAAAAACAGAATATTAATGAAAACTAATATACTGTACTTCTGTAGTTTATTTCTCATGCGATACAGTAAATATTAAAATACAGTATACGTGATCCTTGGATGAAAATGAGTAGAGAATGTACCGTATTTCAAAATTTACATGTCGGAGAATCTGAAAGAAATTCCTGTAAACAGTAGAATGTCTTTATGGTAGTAATTTACATTCTGCCTCAAAATACTGTAATAATATTAATCATACCATTCCTAGTCCCCCTCACAGCCCTACTTTACTCCCCTATCATTATTTTCACCACCTGCACCTTTACTTCCCCCCACACCTCTACCTTCACATAATTCCACACCATTTACGTTCTGTCTCTCTCTCTCAAAGCTTTGTCCACTTTATACACCCACAGTACTGCTCCACATCTCAACATTACACATCAGTACTGCTCCACATCTCAACATTACACATCAGTACTGCTCCACATCTCAACATTACACATCAGTACTGCTCCACATCTCAACATTACACATCAGTACTGCTCCACATCTCAACATTACACATCAGTACTGCTCCACATCTCAATATTTCACATCAGTACTGCTCCACATCTCAACATTACACATCAGTACTGCTCCACATCTCAACATTACACATCAGTACTGCTCCACATCTCAAAAGTACAGTATACAATTAGACATCTGGGCCACACACCCTCACCTGAACTCTTTCCACTCGGCCCAAGCAGAACTGTCACTCCAATCGGTGATGTTGACCCGGAGCTCGTGGTTCCTGCCCTTGGTCATGACGTGCATAGCCTCCAACCCTGTGAAACAAAAGCACTGTAATGTTATGTAAAATGTGTGGGGTGGCAACCCTCTGTAGAGCAGTGGTGCATGTATGTGCTGTTAGGAGGGTGATGTGTGTGTGTGTGTGTGCAGCTCTCTACACACACAAACATACATATACATACATATGCCTGATACAATTTGAGTGAATGCACAAATGCTCAAAATTTCAACTGATTGGAGATGAAGGAAAATGGAGGTGGAGTTGGATGAGCACTTACGGAGGGCCCAAGAAGACTGAGCAGCCCCATCTCGCTCCACTCCCTGGCCTTTGAGGTAAATGTCGAAGTGAAGGTGAGAGAGAAATGGTGAGGAGTGGGGAGAGACAGAGAGAGAGGGAGGAAAATAGAACGAGGGAGGAAGGGACAACAGGAGGTAATAGCACAGTGGTGTTAGGTTTGTTTTTTCTACGTTTTATTTCTTCTGTTAATTCAGTAGAGGAATCTTGTCATTTTTTTTGGGGGGGGGGGAGGTTAATATTCGGTAAGTTTTAATTATTTTCAGTACACTAGTTTAAAAGTCGTTTATACTAGGCTAATATCAAGGCTCAAAGCTGTATGTGGTTACTAATATCAAGGCTCAAAGCTGTATGTGGTTACTAATATCAAGGCTAAAAGCTGTATGTAGTCACTAATATCAAGGCTAAAAGCTGTATGTAGTAACTAATATCAAGGCTCAAAGCTGTATGTGGTTACTAATATCAAGGCTAAAAGCTGTATGTAGTCACTAATACCAAGGCTAAAAGCTGTATGTAGTAACTAATATCAAGGCTCAAAGCTGTAAGTAGTCACCAAGTGTTTTCTGACGTCACTTAAGTTAAAACTCACTCATTTTGACCATTTTTTATACAGGGTGTATATTATTTTTGAGTGTGTTCGTTATGGCATTTGAAGAATCCCTAATTTTATGCAAATTTATGTTCATACCTAACTTGTTTTACATCATATGAAAGAAGGTAGAGATTAAGTAAGATGAGGTTAGGTTAGGTTAGGTTTGTAGGCATTATGTTAGATTGGGTCGATGGCAGTAATTGAAGTTAGGTGGGATTAGATTAAAATAGTTTTAGGGAAGTTAGGTTGTATGATATTGAAGGAGATTAATTTAGATTGTGTTAGGTTAAGTACAGTGGGGATAGGTTAGGTTGGGAACTGGGATTAGATTAGGTTTGGTTGGGAACTGGGATTAGATTAGGTTTGGTTGGGAACTGGGATAAGATTTGGTTAAGTTGGGTACTGAGATTAAGTTTGGTTAAGTTGGGAACTAGGATTAGATTAGGTTTGGTTGGGAACTGGGATTAGATTAGGTTTGGTTGGGAACTGGGATTAGATTTGGTTAAGTTGGGTACTGAGATTAAGTTTGGTTAAGTTCAGTGGGATTAAGTTAGACTATATTAACTGAAATTGAATGACTTTGATTCTATGAGGAAGTATAACATGCGTGTAAATTCTACAGTAGGTGAAGAATAGTGAAGCAGCTAGCAGACCCTCACGCCAGCGCTCACCACGAACTATATATGTGACGGAGGGAACGAATAGGAGAGATGGATAGAATAATAAATAGGTAGACCTGAAAGTTTCCTAGAGAATTAATTTTATTTAAACGAAAGAGAAAAGCTGCAGGAACTTCTAATGGGTAAATGAGGATGGGTGATTATTGTATGTATGTACATCTGTGTCTATGCTTGCGTGTAGAATTTACGAGTAATGTATCATAACATAATCTTCAATGGAATAGATGATGAGTAATTTTTGTCATCAGTGTATAGAATTATGGTTCTCTGAGGTCTTTGTTGTGGCGCGGGTGAGGGTCTTGTCTGCCATTAATGACAACCTCGTTAAGATGAAACAAAGTCAAGATGATTGATTTGAGTGAGACAACAGCTCGGAAAGTTAACAAAGAAAGTTATGAGGATAAAGTGAAAAGATTATTTATAGAGAGATGTGAGATGCGACAGTGACTAGGTGTGTGCAGTTGGAGATAGTGAGGTTAGCCTAATGGTAAGAATTTTACATGTCTTCTAAAAAATCCCTGATCAGTGTTTTATTTAGCAATAAAGAAATAACAAAAAGATCCTCCACCATTTTTTGTCGGGGTTCACAAAGGGTCGTACGGTACATTTTTTTTTATCCTGAACTGGAGATACAAAAAATCTTAAGATAAATTTCTGGATCACCTAAAAGCTCGCCCACAGCTTATTTCACATTAAAATTAACCACCCTAACGCTAATCAAACCTAATCCCTGAAGGTAACGAGTTTAGATGTTTAATCATCAGCTGATATAAGCTGGGGGTCTTATCTTCACATGATGTTATTCTTATGTTTAGTCTTCCAACTGGCTCACTGAATCTACGAAACAAAGAAGACCGAACATCACGCCCAGATGTGTTATCATATCACCAAGTATGAGGGAAAAGTACATTTAATAAGAGTTTGTGAGAATCCAGCATCTGGTAACCTTCCCTTGGCTTGGCGCCCTCACTGGCCTGCGGGGTGAGGGAGGGGTGGGGGGCGGTAACGACCCTCCCATACACCACATTTCCTGTGTGGGAGGACCTGCTCTTTGACTCTTTCTCTCTTTCCCTCTCTAGCCGGTAAAATATTACTCGTAATCACTTTCCCTGGCATTTCACCTTTCTGTCTGTCTCTCTGTATACTGTCTCTTGCGTTATCCTTCTTTGTTGTTTCTGTCCTTCCTATATTATTTATCTGTTCTCTCTCTACATTTCTTTATCTCTATTTATCTATCTATCCATCCGTCTGTTTGTCAACGTATGTAAGTAAGTATAATTGTCTATATGGTTTATCATTCTCTATCTACATCAGGATAAATAGTGAGTGAACGGTGTTGACAAAGTTAGAAATGCTGATAATTGTCCTCTCTCTCTCTCTCTCTCTCTCTCTCTCTCTCTCTCTCTCTCTCTCTCTCTCCGAGAAACATAGATAAAGTAGAGCAAATTACATCGTGAGAGCGTCGTAAGATCTTGGCTGAGGCCATTAGGAACTGCTTGAAACAAGAAGAAAAAGAAAGAGTGGTGTTGGGCGAGGTAGTGTAGTGGTTACTCCTAGTGGTGGTGGTGATGGATGGTGGTGGTGGTAGTAGTGGTAGTGGTGGTGGGTGGTGATGGATGGGTGGTGGTGGTAGTAGTGTAGTGGTGGTGGGTGGTGATGGATGGTAGTGGTGGTGGTGGAGTGGTGGTGGATGGATGGTGGTAGTGGTGGTGGGTGGTGATGGATGGTGGTGGTGAGTGGCGGAGTTCCTCACCTGTGTTATTCCCACCACACCTTAACACCACCACCCGCCCCTCCTACCTGTGTTCAATGGTGTTATTACTGTGCCTTTATACACCTGGATCGACCCTCCACCTGCTTCCCAACCCTACCCCTCACACCTGCTCCTCAACCCTACCTCCACACCTGCTCCCCCACCCTACCCCTCCCTACTTCCCAACCCTACCCCTCCACACCTGCTCCTCAACCCTACCCCTCACCTGCTCCCCAACCCTACCCTCCACACCTGCTCCCCACCTACCCCTCCCCCACACCTCCCCCCACACCTGTCTGATAGCCTCATCATCCCTCCCTTCAATTGACCCCATTTCCTTACCTCACTAACGAGGCCCTTAGTTCACGCTGTCTCTGTCTTCGTGCTTGTGTTTGTCTATCTGTCTGTCTCTGTCTTTATTCTCCTGTTTATATGTATCTTTTCTCTCTATTTATCCTCATTGTCTGTCTTTATGTACGTCCTCTCTCTCTCTCTCTCTCACCAGGTAATGTCAGCAGCTGCCCCAAGTCGTAATACTGTGCTAATCGTTGTTAACTGTTGAAGTCAAGGACACAGTGAGGAACACGGAGGAAGGTATTGTAGTGGAGGAGGGCGAGGCCTGGTGGGGGAATGGGGGGATGGTGGGGGAAGGGGTGGAATGGTGGGGGAAGGGGTGGAATGGTGGGGGAAGGTGGAGAGCTGGGGGAGGGGGTGGATATATGAGATTATTGTTGGATCTTTTATTTATGCTACTAATACAAGCTTTCGTGTTTGTTTTAAATTCGTCATTGATTACTCTATTGTCAGGTAGGTGTGAAGTTGTGTTAATGTTTTAGCTTAAATAAATCCATTAATGGAGTCTAATATCTTCACTCACGGGGAACTTTCATGGTAAGAGTTCTCGAGTGTCAACCCTGATGCGTCAACCTGAGAGTCACTTTAAAGATCACACGGGCGTATTTTTTTTATATTAATTTCTGAGTATGAAAGAAAATTAAAATTATACAGTCATTTGGGTTTTAAAGCGTAATTAATTGTTTTTATGCTAATCCCATAGAATAATTAGTCATGTGTGCAGCAGGATGATAAATTATTCGTATTTAAGTCAGCAACACGTACGGCCTGTTTGTGTGTTAGGCTGGTGTCCTTTGTCTCTTCACCAACCTAATTCACAGTTTTTTGTCTCCTCCCTAACATCTCGGTACCACAGTTACTTGCTATACTGATAATATCTGCATCCACTCAAACTCGCCAGAAGGTCTTCAACGCCCACGTATCCCCGGCACATCGTTTACCTCTTGTGGTTTTCCCTCTCCAGAAAAAGTGTCAAATCTCTCACTGTCACCAGAAGACGCTCCCATAATTCACTATAAAAGAATGTCTCACTGTGTCTGGCACCCTCTCCACCTGTTCTATTAAGGAAAACAAACCAGCCAAACTCACCTACCTAACCTTCCATGACTAAATATATTCTAAAATTGTTAAGTTTGGTAAATAGTTCGGCTATAATAATGTAGTTCATTCATTCTACCTGTTTTAAAGGAACAGTTTATACAATTTTCACTAAATACTAAAAAAAAAAAGATAAATACGTGTGATACAACATTGGGATAAATAACTATACAGCGTAGGAAAGAAACTAAAAGGGAGGAAGAGAGGGAGAGGAAAGAGCCGGGGGAAAATAAGGGGATAAGTGAAGCACTCGCTGTGAAGTATTGGAACAAAGAAAATGTCTACAGGAAGAAGATTAGGAAATTTATTGAGAGTAAATTAGTCCCTGACTTGGCAGAAAGCGCGGGGACACGGCTGGCGGTGCAGGAGGCGGACGGAGGAAAAGAGGAAGGCGTAGAAAAGAACTATGGAGAGGAAAACAAAGAACATGGGAGGAAAGGGTAAAAAGGATGAGGAGAAGGAAGAAGAGGGCAGTATAGGGGAAGGAGCAAGAGGGTTGTAAAGGAAGAGGAAGAAGGCAGTAAAGGAGGAGGAAGAGGAAGAAGGTAGTAAAGGAAGAGGAAGAAGGTAGTAAAGGAGGAGGAAGAGGAAGAAGGTAGTAAAGGAGGAGGAAGATCATGTCAGTAAAGGAGGAAGAAGGAGGAGGAAGATGAAGGCAGTAAAGAAGGAAGAGGGTGAGGAAGACAAGCAAATTGATGTGAAATCTCCTTCATGAGCAATAAACGCCTTTGATCAGGTTGGAGGCCGCCCAGGAGACAGTGCAGCCATGAGAGATAGTGGAGTGAGCTAGGAGACCGTGTATAGCCAGTTGATAGTGTAGTGAGCTAGGAGACAATGTAGCCAGCCAGGAGATAGTGTAGCCATCCAGGAGATAATGAAGCCAACAGGAGATAATGGAACCAACCAGGAGATAATGTAGTCAACCAGGAGATAGTGTAGATAACCAGGAGATAATGGAACCAACCAGGAGATAATGTAGTCAACCAGGAGATAGTGTAGATAACCAGGAGATAATGGAACCAACCAGGAGATAATGTAGCCATAGAATATTACAATGTAGCCAAGAAATTTAGAAGCAACATCCTAGCCTTTGACGCTTTAAAGTCTGCTAATTCGTGTGTGTTTATTGTATGTCATAGTGGAGTGAATGAAAGAAATTGTTTTATATCTTAAAAATATTCATCTACCTGAAAATATAAGGATGCACCCATCTGTTTAAGATAAATAACCAGTGCAGACCCAAATTAACGTAATCTTAGCATTATTTTGTCTCCTAACTGGTACAAATTGAACGTTTCTAGTTAAGGAAGGAAGGTCTCAGTATATCTCTTGTGTTTTTTTTGTATGTTATCGTAAGGTAGAGTCTTGGTATAATTTCCATCTTATTCTGTGTGTTATTTCTCTATATATATATATATATTATCTGAAGATGACCATCAGGGCAATGTTTATTTTATGGACCTTTGTGCAACCGATCCAAAGGTAACTGATGACCGTATCTATTAGAAATCTTCGTATTTATTCCTATGTTCATTTACTGTGTATATTAGTGGGTATTTATTTCCATTGAATCTCATGTGAAAAATTTGTTTTATGTCTGTGATCTTTCGTGGACGTTGTTACCACAGTCGATATCCTTTAACATTATATTGTTATTTTACAGTAATATTTGCTCAGAAAACACACAAACCGTAATTGTTTGAGGTAAAATTAGTGGCACGATTGGAGCACACACTTTATCTTTTATTTTTCCAGAGTATAGGACGATTTTTCCAGGCTTAATGATGTTGTTTGTTTGAGAAAATGCACATTCTATTACCATCGAAATCAGGTTTCCACGCATTTACAAATACATTAATATCCAACGAAATTGATTGAATTATAATAACTTACACATATAAAAAAAACATTTCCTTTTAAAATTTGATAGTTGTAAAATAACACAGGATTATACATAAGTTTTGTGTTTCCTGGAAGTTGGTAACACTGACGTAGTTATTGATACCTGAGCTGTCATTAATTTTGTCTACAGGGCTTTGCAGGACCCACACCACACTGACTTAGTTGGTGATAAAATATTTCCGGATACTTTTCTAGCATCATAGTGATACGGATACATGCCCAAAGATACAAATGAAATCGTGTAACAAGCTAACAGTTGTCAGACCCACAAGGTAAAGCTGGCCAGGGACGAGAAGACAAGGTAAGATAGATAAATTTGTTTACCTTATGTATATCTATTGAGATCGATAATGTACACGTGTAATAATAGGTATTAATAAGAAAGTATGTATCTTATACGGTAATATGTCTTACAGCTGGTATGATTTTACACTATAAGCGATGTTTAGGGTTTAGTAGTTAGTGGCGTAAAACTAATTAGTGTTTAGGAAAGAAATGTTTGCATTGGGAGGTTCCAGCTAGATGCGTGAAGTCCAAAAAAAGAATAACATTTCGTTAAAAAAATATGGAGACAATGAAGTGATGAGGCGGCACATTCAAAGTAAGACATTTTTTTTTCATGTACGGGGTTTTAATCTTTATAAAACAAGCCTCTTAAAACACTATTTACTCTTATTTCCTCTCCGCCCCAGACTATTATTTAGGCTCTAAGCGGCTTTCGGAGTGGGAAATCGTACCAACAGTATACATATTATGTTTTTTTTTTTACAATACTGGGATGAAGTGTTGGTTGGTGGCTTCATAGTAAAGTTGCTTCAATGTACGATTATTTGACTGATTTGGAGTGAAATAAGGCTTAATATATCCTTAGAGTCAAACTATATTACAGTCATCCAGGTTGTGTTTTCAAGGCCTCCGACCCCAAGTTGGGAGCGTTCGTCCCGTAAGCAAATGGGGTACACAGATTCGATTCCCGCTGGATTCAAGGATTGAGTTCTCTTCATGTACAGTAGCCTTTATATACTCAGCACACTGTTGGGGTGTCCGTGCCACTGGTGGGTGATGTACTGTAGATCAGTCTTGGTGGCGCAGCTACCCTACGACCGTAGCTACCCAGCATCCGACCGACTGACTACCTTACACCATGATATATATATATATATATATATATATATATATATATATATATATATATATATATATATATATATATATATATATATATATATATATATATATATATATATATATATATGTACTGTATATACCTCTATATATAGAGGTATACGTAAAACCAGGATGAGTTAGGTTGTGCAGACTGGATATATATATCTCGCCATCAGTGAGAGTGAATGAATGTCAGTCAGTGACAGTCACGTATAGAGGGATATTGGCTGAGCTAAAAACTGATACACTCGTATTTCAGTTCTCGGAGACTCCAGCAAAAACATCCAAAGGTTTAGGCCGCCTTCACCAAGTGCGGGGAAGTCCACGCTCTCCCGACACCTTCCTCAGTCGTCGTTGTCAATTGCATCAACAAAAGTTAACTCGTGAAGATAATTTTTCATCGGACATATTTCCCTATAAACATTTTCTCATTTTTTTTAATCGACAAGTAACAACACTGTGCATGCTAGGTACTTCGCCCTCTTCTCAGTACACTTGTTTTATATAACTGACAGTGATATAAGCAATAAGGAAATTATTTTTTTGCGAAATTTAAAACGCGAATTCTATAGCGGTGTGATCAAGAGTGATATTATTAAGGGAAAATGCAGTAATATTTTTTCGTAGTAGGGTTAATAGTAGCAGTTGGACTGAGTTAAGGAAAACTGGTCAGTGATTTTTTTTCTCTCGTAACAGTGGGAATGAAGAAGCATGCCAGAAAAATCCCATTTATTTTGATATGGTTAAGGATGGAGGCCGGAGGGATAGTAGCTTAAATTATTTTTTTAGAAGATTTTTGTCAGTTTACACTTGTTTTTTGTTACTCGAGGAGTTAGTCTTCAAAAATGTACAGCTTAATATTTATTATTAAGTCTTCCAAGTTATTACAGAATACGATAGATATGGCTACTATTAATCTTGCATGGCTCCTCGGTTTGATTCGGACTGCTTATAAAAGAGACAAAGATAGGGTGACTTACCGAGCCAGTGTTCAGCTGTGGGGTCGCCAAAGCCAGCCTTGTAGTCTGCCCAGTTCCTGTTGAAGTCTTCCTGGGATGCCTGTTCCAACCTGGCCAGCACCACCGTCCACCCGCCACCATTGGTTGTCTGGTCACACCACACCTGTCAAAGAGAAAGTTAGAGTTAGCTGAGTGAAACTGGCTCAGTGTGGTTTGGCTGTTGGTTAGGTGTGTGAGGTTAGGGTTGGTTAGTTTGTGAGGTTGGTTAGGATGTCAAGTTAGGTTAGGATGTCAGGTTAGGTTAGGATGTGGGGTTAGGGTTGGTTAGTTTGTGAGGTTTGGTTAGGTTAGGCTCTGAGGTTATATTTGTTTAATCCAAGGGGTTAGGTTCAGTCATAGGTTTAAATTTAGTAAGGTTAATCCACAGGGTTAAATCTAGTGAGGTTAATCTATAGGGTTAAATTAGTTTAAAGTTAAATTAGGTTTTAATATTTCGTTGATTCGTCTCTGTTTATGTTTACTTAATATACTGAAGGTTGTAGAATACTAAACGTTAGGCCAGGGTCGTAGGTAGTACTTAAAGCTTTATTCTTGTGAGTTGCTAAGGTCAGAGTGTACGCCTGTCAGTTGCTAAGGTCGATTACTAAGGAGATGGGTACGTTTGACAGTCAGGTGTACGTTTGTCATTTACTAAGGAGAGGGGTATCGTACGTTTATCAGTTGCTAAGTTCAAGAACACGCCCATTACACTTGGAACGGTTGCTAAGGAGAGAAACAAATATACCGGCATCTAAAGCTCCTTATTAGACATTTTTGCATATTTTTTTTACGTAATACCATACCACGAAAGAATGTCAATAACACTATTTTATTTTCTCGTGTTCGTTGTGAATGAGACAGTGGGGCCATGTGTGGGTTGGTGGACACACTGTGAGCTTGTTAACATGATCACCTACTCTGGCAGGTTGATGGGACAAACACAACGAACCGAAAAACACTTACATCTCTGGTATCGGAAGTAAATAAAGTAAAAATACCAATAGAAATAACACCTGGGAAATTTATTATCGTCGAGGGAAGTATAGAATAAAAGTTGTATTTAATGTCGAAAAAGAATATTAAGAACGTAGATATTTGATATAATGCGTGTGAAAGCAGTACAGAGTTAAAATACCACAACGTATAAGTAAAAAAAAGTTCCTGACTTTTAATAGTTGTTGTTCAGTGTTAGAAAATGCCTGTGTTCTGTAAGACCTTGCTGTTGGGGCACATTAATACATTATATAACAAGAGTAACGCGTAATATTACTGTTTTGGAAGACTCTGGCAGCTAGAATTGCCCACAATGCAAATGTTTATTTTGCCTGTCATGTAATTTCAAATATATTTTGTAGTAGGTGGCAATAATGTTTGTTCATGTGTAACTGATGCTATTGTGTATATTTGTACTTTATTGCACTTGGATAAAAATGAAAGGGAAGCCTCGCACAATTAAACTAAAAGCGTTTATATCCGTTCGTTTTCGATATATTGTCCATTCAGTTAATGGCATTGGCTGAGAGGCAGAAATATATGCAGTGAGAATTACGAATTTCTGACACACAAGTATTGTGTTCGCATCCCGACCTGAAAATTATAAAGTGTTACACATTTTCGAGATTTTTTGTATATTCTATTTTACAGAACAGGAATGTAGTGACACTCACATATTAGTAAAAATACTCGGGTAACGTGAGATATTTTTCTTTAAGTATAAAAACAATGTAGCGACGCTATCACGTTAGTAAAGAAAAAAGTGAGATTTTTTCTTAACTAGTTGAAAAATGGAGGGAATTTGGCGCCTAGTTGAAATTGAAATTAACTTCAAATATCGGCTTTATTGGGCACCTTAGGCTACACCTTTATTTTTACTCCGGCTGGTCCGTTATTACCTCCAGGCAAGACTTTTACTGTATTAAAATGTCCTTTGTTGTTTGTGACACTGAATATTATTGGGGAAGAAACTGCGTGTGTGTGTGTGTGTGTGTGTGTGTGTGTGTGTGTATGTAAACTTTTGTACACCGAACATATAAGTCATGCATATAAATTGAAGCCTAATAAATCTTGCATGCGAAGTTAAACCTAGTAAGACTTGCATGTAAATAGAACCCTTTATAAGTCTTCCATTGTAAACAGAAGCCTTGTTAGTGACCCATGAAAGTAAACAGTAACCAATTAAGTTTTGCTTGTAAACAGAATCCCTTTATGGCATGTAAATAGAAGCCTCAAAGATACGCTTGTAAATGGAAACCTAACGTAGACATAAGCCTTACTACTGTAGGTGTTTTCGTAAATATAAATAAATGGAGAGTACCACGCATGCAAACCTACATAGCTTAGTCCATCCAACACAGACTACAAAATATTCCTCCTCCCCTCAGCATACGTTCGGAGGAGGAATATTGAGGAACGATGTATTCTGGAAAATATGAAGAGCTAGGGCGCGGTTAATTGGTATCCACTAACTTGTGCCATAATTTAGCGATGTGAATTCATATTCCTTTAGAGTTCCTGTAGGTTCCGGGGCTATTGTTTAATAATGCTTAGAATATGAGCATTAATTACTACTGCAATAACTAATTAAAGTAATGGTAATTTTGTAATAATAATCGTCTACATTATGATTAGGATGACCCACCCAAAATTCGTAGCCTAATTGCAGTACAAAATCGTCTTCTCTAGCCCCTGTATTTTGTATTTTTATTAGTTTCGTGAATTTGTAGTCTGAGTTTCGTTGGAGGGAGAATTATATAAGGGAAGGTAAGGTACACTGGCCATTAAATCAGTCTGTGGCGGTGGTGTGTGAGGAAGCACTGCCTCTCCCTTCTGAGTTATGGGGTTGTATTTTAACTCTCACTCTTTCTCAGTTTTTCAGCCCTGTTTCTCTCTCTCCTCCTCTTGTTTCATTCTCTTTCTCGTTTCTTTGATTCCCATATTCTCTTTTCTTCCGTAGTTTCTGTTTGTATTTTTGTAGTCATTGATTTTTGCTTATCTCTGTTTTTTTGTGTCGTATTCTTTCTCCCTTTCTCGTTCTGTTTTCTTGTTTCGTTCTCTATCTCTATCTCTCTCGTCTCTAGCCCAGCATATCGCTATCAGTAATTAGTATGTAAGCAGTGGGTTGAGCTGTGAACAGAATTTCCGGAATGGAATTAGAGTGGTGACGTTCAGGTCTTGCATATTCCACACCTTGACAATAACAACCCTAGCCAAAGCGTCATTCTGAATTAGTGTGGGAAGTAGAGGAAGAGTGTGGCGTCGAATCCGATGTATCGTTTAGAACCTTTTTAAGTCAAACCGGTATGTTGGTAAGTCAGTCCAATATGTTGTTTGGAACTTTTATTTTTATTTTTTGTAACTCAAACCTTTACGTCGTCGACAAGTTTTGGCTCAATCCCGATATCGCTCTCAGCTCGTCGATATTAGTTGGAGCGTTCGCCACTTTGTAAACATTTTGGAGTTGCAGAGATTCGTATTTTTATTACTATTTTTTGGTTTCTGTTCTGTTGTATTGTATAAGGAGTTTATTTTTTGTCTAGCCTTTGTGTTGCACATTATTTGAGTTTATGTAGTAATAATATAATGGGTTTGTAGTGCGTGAGAATTGCGCTTTTTATAATAGATGGGTTTGTGTAACAATTGGGTGTCTAATCTTCGGGTAAATTAATCTGTCGTGCCTAATATCATGGTAACATTGAGGAAGATAACAGAAAATATTATTGCTTTAGGAACACATCAACAGTCACTTGCAATCGACTGGTCACCACGGACGCCAGCAACTGTGAGTGAGGGAGAGTTGGTCACAAATTACCTCCACGTCTCGCTGCCTCCAGGGGACACACACACACACACACACACACACACACACACACACACACACACACACACACACACACACACACACACCAGTCTGTTTATTCGTCATCGTGAGAACAAGTGAGACCATAATGTAGGTGTGTCTGTGTATGTGGTCTGCCCGCCGCCCTGGAAATACCATTATGTCAGGACTGTTCGGGGCCTTTTGTGGGTCTGTTGGCCGTCTGATTGACAACTGATGACCAAATGGACTCGAAACCTTTTGGGCGGGGAAGGAAGGAGGAGGGGGTCTGTTTGGCGTTTCTGTCCAGCCAATCACAAGGCCATGGTGTGTGTGGGGCCCAGACTGTTTTAACATTGACACAGTGAGAGGAACAACATTTACACAGCAGCAGTAGAGGGAGGAACAAAACGGAGCATCCTCAGAGTGTACATCCTGTGGGGGGGGGGGAGGAGGTCCAATAAGCGCGCGGTCTTTTATTGGCGGCATGGACCAATCAGTGAACGTTTTGCCCGGATAGACGTGGATTTTGTTCTTTCTATCTCCCTCCTTCTTCCTCCCCCCCTCACTGGTGTAGTAATTACCTAGCTTAAGGAAGATCGATGAAGTGTTTGATGATAAGTGGCGAGGGTAGGCCAGTGGTGCTTCTGCCTGACCACACACACACACACACACACTCTCTCTTGCTTCTCTAATTTGGGATAACTTATGGTGAAACAAATCTGCCTCTTCCTCCTTTTTTCTTCTTCCTCTTTCCCCTCCCCTCCTCTTACCCTCCACTCCCCTCTCCTCCCCCTCCTCGTGACGTGATATTGGCTAAGATAAAAGCTCCACCCGCTGCTGCAGTAAGCCACCACAGTATACCTTTATATGTAAAAAACAAACATTCCTATAATTGTATACATGTATAATAAATTAACCAAACAAAATCTAGCTCACTGACGGCCGCATCAGATTTGTTATTAGCTGTTACGGGATTTATCATTATTAGCGTGTCTGCCTGGATTAATCCGTCTCTGTGTTCGTGGGTTAATTATCAATATCAGCGACTGTTTCTCGGCCAGCTATCAACATTCGCCTCTCTAGTTATACAATAGGTTCGTACTCGCCTCATATTATTTTAGCGTTTTTTTTTGTGTTCTTGTTAGGACTGAAAACATTATTTTTTTTTACATTCCTTTGCCTAGATTCCCTGTCATGTCAATCCCCTGGTTCTCTCTCCCTCCCTTACCTCCTCCCAACCACGGGTATAACACACACACACACGTACACTTTAGAGAGTGTTCCCAGCCCAAACACTTGAAAAACAA